CATTTTCTAGCTTCTAATTTAGTTTTATTTACATGATTAACCTATAAATCAATGTAGGCACTTTCCAATACATTTGTCCACTATGTAACCAATCAGAATCACTTTACTTCCTGGGTGCAGTCGGCATGGTGACGCAGAGTCTTAAATCTTAAATGTCTTAAATGATTGGCCTATCAAGTGAAATCCTCTACTGTGCCAAGAAAATACTAGCTAAATACATTAACAGCATGTGTCTGGAGACTTTGGACCACCACCAACACAGCACCACGACTTTGACTTCCAATAAAAATACCAATATTGCATAAAAAGAAAAAAAATAAGATATAAAATATATCATTTAATTTTCAATTTGCTGGTAAAGAACAGAGACAGATCGTGGGACTACAGTTTGTACTGTAAGTAATTTGGCACAAACAAAAGAGATGGTGGTCATTAGAAGCTTTATCCTTAAGATATTATTATTATTTGTAAAATCTGAATAATATCAGCTTGATGCGACTTGTGCTTGTTGTGTGTGGTAGGATGTGTAAAAAATGTCCCAGTCTGGAGATTAATTTTATCCCTTAAAAGGAGCAGTATGTAAAAATCTGGCCAAAAGTGGTACTGCAACCTCTCCCGCTCTCCCTGACCCTGACGGGGAGGCGTGACGTCATTTCCTGTTAACAAAGCACAGCCCGTTCACTTCCTGCCTATGCTATCCTATGGCATTTAGGTGACTTTTAGGCCCCGTCCCAATACTCGCACTTCCACCCTTGCGCCCCTCATTTGCGCGTTCCCGATGATGGGTGCGAGTGCGTAGGGTGTCCCAATTCTCCAGGGAGGTCTTTGGCCCCGCCCCCTTTGCGCCCCTGATCCACACTTCGCCGTAGCCTGCATCTATGCACACTCTGGCGAAGGATATTGCCCATAATTCTTTGCGGTACACACCAAAACGTCGGGGAAATGCAAATTTTGAAATATATATGCAGTATGTGTGTAAATAAGTTTTGCTATGTTACTTGGAAAGAAGCAGAAACGTCTGATGAAGAATTACGGACATTGTGTTTTAACAATTTAATAAAATTTAAACCAAGCGTTTATATAACATTCAATTTAAACTTTACACTTAGTACAATAATCTTAGAATGTATAAAAACTGACCAGATAGTTAGTTACCCACATTTAACTTAAAATTATACAGATATCTCTAATTAAAAATAACTAATATACATGTATTTTAACGTGTGTGAAGCAATTCATATTGTTTCCCAAAGGGTCAGACAAGATTACCTTTAATGTTTATAAAGTTTAGGTCTGAAAATGTCCATCTCTTGACGAGTCGATGACGTAACCTGCACTCAGTGTGCACTGTCCCAATTCTGCCTTTTTTGCACACTTGTAACCTGCGCACTCCAACCCTGGTGTGCACTTCCAACAAATGCTCACTTCGTAGAAGTGTGTAGGGTGCAGTGTGGGTGTTGGGACGGGGCCTCAATGACGTTTTTTAGTAATTAGATTGATACATTCAGCTGTGAGACTGACCCAAAAGTGATGCTGTGCTTTCTCTCAGAGGTAGAGCTTTGACTGTGGCCATTCAGAGAGATTTTTAAACTTTATAAAAACACAATGACGGGACAATCAAAGAGCACTGTTGTGTCCCAAAAATGCCCAGTATCCTCACAGTGTAATTCCCGTCTGAGCATTATTTGGGAAACTCGTGTAAACCACTGGTGAACTCCAGTGAAACTCAAGCTGTTTCCCGCGCACAGTAGTAGTAATCTTTAGTAGTAGTAATCTTTATTTATATACCGCCTTTTCACTGCAGCGGTTTCTCAAAGCGGTTTACAATTGTTAATTATGGGCATTTGTCTCTCACTCCACACAGAGATGGGAGCAGGGTCGCCGGTACAGGAGGCGCATGCCAGACATGCCTATTGGACATATTTTTAGTGGTAGGGGAAACCGGAGTACCTGGAGGAAACCTACGCAGACACGGGGAGAACATGCAAACTCCACTCAGAAAGGCCCTGGTCCGACCGGGATTCGAACCCAGGACCTTCTTGCTGAGAGGCGAGAGTGCTATCCACTCAGCCACCGTGCCGCCCGCACAGGAAGTGAGGTGGGGTTGTAGCTAAAACCCGGAAGTGGTGCGTGCATAGAGCCTATACATAGTTCCCACATGACGTCACTACATACGGGGATTTGCCGACCCGGCGCCATTTGTGTTGGCATGCTGTGGGCAAAACAATAGAAAAAGAAGCTGAAACGTGTTAATGTCGTGATAAAGTTGAAAATGGTCATCTCCTGCTGGGTCAATGGATGTTCAAATCGTGCCGGAGGTTCCGTTAAACTTGGATTTTACAGTATACCCATCATTAGACTTCATGAATGTGAGAAGACTAAGCTTTTGTCAGAACAACCACGGAGGTTATAGCTTGCGAAGATAAACAGGCAAGAAACTCCCTCAAAACACGCAAGAATATGCTCGGAGCACTTTGTGTCAGGTGCGTATCGTATCTTATAATGTGTTGACAGACGTAATTTTACTCTCAGTACTAACTTGTGTATGCTGATAGCTGGTAACTTGAGAGTTTCATTATTTAGATTACTTTATTATGAGGAGGATCGGTGTCGCGTCCGAGGCTCTCGAGGGCAACGTAAATGTATTAAATAGATAATAATAGTTCTATGGTGGGCTAAAACAATGTTCACAAACAGCATTGCTTCTGTAAAAAGATCTGTGTCATAAAATAAACTGCTCTTTACGCCTGGAAAAATCAGTTGCCCACCATTCACCAAAACATACGGTCAAAAACGCGGAAATAAACAATAACAGCAATCCAGAGTGTCCGTGTGGCATTAGCATTAATTAAATTAATTGTTAATATAATTAAAATAATTAAATGGAGCTCCAACTGGTATTAAATCTAAAGTTTTTGAGAAATGTTTGCATTGCTTGTTAATTTTTGCTGCATAATTTGATCAAATATGTAAAACATGTCCGTAGCACGTTAAACTGTGGTGCCATTGTATTAATATACAATTATTTGCTCAAAAGTTGCCCTTTTTTTCCAATTTGCGTTTGAATATCTACATTTATTCTCATTCTTCTGTTTAATGGAATGCACAAACACAGCAGCGTGCCATCAAAGATGGCGTCTCCGGGAAGGTCATGTGACATTCATTGGTCTGTGGGAACTATGTATAGCTGACAAATCCATAACCAACACCTTATTCACGAAGGCCCCAATAGAAATTCTTATTTATTCCTTGTTTTGTCGTTAAGGATTTGAGAATCATAACGAGACCTTTTTTAGTTCTGCGGCCACATGGTACTTTACCCGTGAGATTAGCTTGACGCGGTGAGTTCTGGCAACCCCGGATTACAGCCTTTCTGATTGGTAAAACGATGGAGGGCGGGACATCGAAATTAAAATATTCCTGAACTACTGTTATCAGTTAAATAAGTATTTGAAAAGAGCATGTTTTATTACTGCCTTTTGGACAGATGAGGGCCCTTTAATGACGACTTGACGTGAAAATCTTACATATTGCTACTTCAAATAAACAAACACATATCTGCGTATCCTTTTATTTTGACCACATAAATTGCTTGATTATAAAAACACAGCTGGATTCACAAAGCACCTGTCCCCTGTGAACACCTGGGGTTTACTCTGTCACAAACGCACATTTTATTCATATGTGCAGTTAATTTCATGATCATGTGCTCCCTCTGCTGGTTCAGAAAGGCATAACATCAGAGCAGAATAAAAAAAGCAGACACAAGCGCTCACCAGGGCCGTTTTGACAATGACATAATAGCACGGTAAAAATCTTGTTTCCTAAATATATTACTTACTTTGGGGAAAAAAGCAGGTACCAAAATAGTACCTGTACTTGAATAAAATCTGCTGATGTAAATGTACACCTTTGTTGCTCGGTGTAAATTGAGGGACACTCCTGAACTCCTCACTCACATATTTATCCCAAAAGCAATTAGAGTCTGTCCAGTGCTGGTGACGGGAGAGCTGGTGTTTTGGTGGATTCAGTTTGTAACTACGTCATATCTACAGCGTCAACTTCAAGATTTTTTTTTTCTCGTCATATTTTTCTGTCGCGGAAGTCAAAACACGATTCTATGTGACAATATTTTCGCTGGAATTGCACCGGGCAATGGAGAGTTCTTTCTTTGGAACAAGTGATGGAATGGGAGGAGGGTGTGGGTAGCAGTCGGCATGGTGACGCAGAGGCGGGTCTTAAAAAAGATATGTAGGCAGATGATTGGCCCGTGGAGTGAAATCCTCTATCGTGAAAATACTAGCTAACAGCATTGGTCAGGGTAATGTGGACCACCGCCCACGCAGCTGGATTTAACTGGCTCAGCACCACAACAAACTCCAATAAAAACGGCCATCTTGCATAAAAAGAAGGGGAAAAAATGCACCAACCGATGTATTATTTCGCCGATGTTGTTTAGAGTTTTAGGGGAATATTTATCAAGGATTTACACACACACCTCCAAGAGTTTGTATCGGTGTCAGGACTCGTGCCGACTGTTTATGGGGGAGATGAGGGAGAGAGGGAGGGAGGGAGAAGGAGAGAGGGAGGTGCAGTCCATGTCATAGTCTGAATAATAATGAAGGCCGGATCTGTCGTGGATGTACCAGGATTGACAGACCAACCAGGTGCCTTCTGTCCCCGGATCTGCTTCGACTAGCGAATAGAACGAGCGGGAACGGACCAGCCTCGCACCTGATTGGCTCTTTGGTTGCTATGAAGGAATTTGGCTCCCAGATTCCGGCCCGACGGAGCCAGTCAGAGCAGCTGGAATGAGCTTGTTCAGCACCAATATTACACCGACTCTGGGTCCGCACACGGGGTGGGGGTGGGTCAGTCCACGTACATGTGGGGGGTGAAGGGGGCAGTCCACGTACATGGGGGGGATGAAGGGGGGCAGTCCACGTACATGGGGGGGATGAAGGGGGGCAGTCCATGTACATGGGGGGGGGGGGGGGGGGTCAGTCGACGTACATGGGGGAGACGGGGGAGGAGGGGAGCTGGTCCAGGATGGTGCAGACGTATCCGGCCACGTCCACGGGCTGCTCCTCGTACATCAGGATGAAGGAGTGTTTCTGTACGCACACACACAGATACGCAGAGACACAGACGCACACAGAGACACACACAGAGACAAACACAGAGACAAACACAGAGACAAACACAGAGACAAACAGACACACACACGTTATCTTTGAACTCCAAATACTCGAAACTAATGTTATATCCTCAGTTGTGAAAAGAAAACTTACCAGAAGTTCTTTATACTTTGGCCTTTTGGATTCATCTTTAGTCAGACTGAAAGGACGGACAGAGGCGTGAGAATAACACACACAGCTGTGTGTGTGTGTGTGTGTGTGTGTGTCTGTCTCTGTGTGTGTGTGTCTGTGTGTGTGTGTCTCTGTGTGTCTGTCTCTGTGTGTCTGTGTCTGTGTGTGTGTGTCCGTGTGTAGGTGCTCTGCGCGCTCTGTGCACTGTATTTTCCTTCGCTCTTGTCTGTCAGGCCCGAGGGCTGTTGTGTGTGTATGTGGGAACGAATTATTTTAAAATAATCTTTCAATTTCAAGTTTTATAATGTGTTTTGTTTGATCAATGTATAAAAATAAATGCAATGTAATTTAAAAGGAACCTTGGCCTGTCTTGTGCTTTGCAGGACAGTTCCCTATACTCAGGGGTGCACATAAGTGGTACGCAGGTACGCATGAGCGACAAATATCAGAAATGCGTACTATCACTTGAGTTAGTAAGCGCCTTTGCGTACTTCACATAGACCAGTCCTTCTCAAATAGCTCTCTTCCCTAGGGGGGCGTGGTGCGTTGCCAGGGTGACGGAGCGGTCCGTCTCTAGCTACGTGCGCAAATGTAGTATTATACTAAAGACTGACTGTCATGCCGCACGCGCCACACACACACACCGGCACGCACACACACACACACACCGGCACGCACACACACACACACACACCGGCACGCACACACAAACGCCATATCACACTCGTGCACACTTTTTTTCCCAGTTCCATTCATACGTAACATCCACACCCATCATCCATTCTCTCGTCCGTCTTTCCCCTCAGTTACTAGTTTGCCAAAAGTGCACACTTGTGCGGGTTAGAAATACATTCAAGCAAACATTTACACACAGATTTACCGGTCTGTCGCGCTCCTCTGGGTCTGTGCGCAAGAATCAAACCAGGACACTATTTCCTGGTGGGTTAAATGGGAATTATGACCATGTGATGTGCGTAATTAAATGTCCATGTTTTGAGAGTATAACGATGTAATGTAATGTAATTTTTACCAAAATAATTTGCTCGATGGGAGGGGCCAGGAGCCGTGTTTGGCACAGTCTGCCGCTGGTTAAAGAGGAGGTAACTTGAAACTTAAAGGTGACCTATGTGTCAGTGTGAACTTAAATACGCTCTGCACTGCCTACACCAGTGTTTTTCAACCTTTTTTGAGCCAAGGCACACTTTTTTCACTGAAAAAATCTTGCGGCACACCTCCAGGAGAAAATGTAAAAATGTATACAGTACTAATGTAAAAAAATATATACTGTACATACTCTGTGTGATATATAAAGTATATCTTATCTTATAATGTATACAGTATACTCTGTAGCCTATATTCACAATATACAGTTATTCTCATCAAAATGCTTAAGTCCAGGCCTTGAAATTAAGCTTTATTTAATATTTCTCGATACAATTAACAAGAGTTTGGGAATAAAGTGGCACTAACTGTGTGGAAAAAAACTAAGAAAATCCACTCTCTGCCCAAATAGTCAAATAATAACTCACACAAAGAACATGCATTGTTAGTGCATGGGAAACATTTTGGTATCCGAGCTTTAAATTCAGGAGTTTTGGATGAGGGACACGGGAGGTCCTGAACGCGAGTCCATGGTTCTGTCCGGTCCGCATGTCTGTGGTTCTGTCCACTCGACTATGGTCTGCGCTCGGTACCCAGTTCAGAAGTGCGTTCGCGAGAGCTGTTGTACAAAAATCGTACATTTCATAGTTAAACCACTACAACGCGGCCACAGCTGCCCCGGGGCAGAGCGGAGGATGTTAATCCTGTTCAGAAACGGCATAATTCATTTTCAAAAACGTCTCTATCACTTTCACTTCTCACTCGCCACAAAGCTCTTGTCTCGCTCCCTCACACATTTGTTGGTCGCATCCAATTTTACCTTTCTCGCCACAATGCTGACCTGTTACAGCCAGTGGTCGCATCCAATTTTTCAGTTTCAAAGTACTTAGCTATCTGCTGCCATCTACTGATTTGAAAAAGTATTACATGGTTACTCACAGTTCAAAACAAGTCACCGCTCGTCAACAGCGAATGCAGCTACTTTTAGACAAAGTAGACGAATTTCTCACGGCACACCAGACAATATCATACGGCACACTAGTGTGCCGCGGCACAGTGGTTGAAAAACACTGGCCTACACCATTTTTTTTCACTCTTGGAGTATAGAAAATAACCCACCTAAGCACTGGACTGCGAGCTCGCCTGTTTAATCAAACAGAACATTGTTGGATTTTTTCTTTTGTTTTGCATTTTTAGGAAAGAGACCTGTGAGTCATTATTTGACTTGGATTGAGTGGATTATCTGAGCTGATCTAAACTTTATCATTAAAAAGAAGCAAGCATAAAATCTCGATTAAGAACCACAGACAATTGGAGTGAGTACTAAACACCATCTCCTGGTTCTCATCTGAGAACCTCACTGAAAAAGTTATGTGCACCCCTGGTTATACTAACATATAATACTAATACTAAAATAGGGTGGCATTGTTGCAACAAGTAATCTACTTAGAAGTGATCCTAAATTACAACCAGCTAAAGCTCGGTACCACGACAAACAAAAAAGTGACGCAATAGTTACTTTTACTTGTAACTAGTTACTTTTATAGTGAAATAACTCAGTAACTAGTAACCATAACTAATTACTTTTTCAAAGTAACGTGCCCAACACTGGTCTCTGCATGTGTGTGTGTCTTTCTGCGTGTGTATGTCTCTGCGTGTGTCTCTGCGTGTGTCTCTGCTTCTCTGTCTATGTGTGTGTGTCTGCTTCTCTGTCTATGTGTGTGTGTCTGCTTCTCTGTCTATGTGTGTGTGTGTGTGTCCAGTCTCACCACAGATTGACGAAGTTTCTGAACATGTCTGAGAACTGTCTGTCGTCGGAGCTGGTGAGGTGCGGCGGTTCCCCCTTCACCACCTGCGTGAGCTGATCGAACACACTGTTCCACTTGGGGTACGGGAAGCGGCCCGTGGCTAACTCGTACTGAGAGGACACAAGACCACATCACTGACAACCACACACCCGCTGCTGTCAGACTGTACAACAAACAATAAGCACTAACAAAACTGATGTCAGAATGTGCAATAAATGTGCAATATAGATGTGTCCACTGTCATTTTGCTGAGTCACTTTGCCCCCGACCCTCGTATATTTGTACGTATACATCTGCTAACATGTACAGATGTAAACATACAAATATATATTTCTTGCACTGGAATATACAGTATTTTAGACTTTCTCCTTCATTCACTTTACCTGCTGATATTGTTTATTCTGCTCATGTTCTCTGCTGCTAAAGTACAATATACACATTTGTGAATACTGCTCCTTCTGCTTAAAACACGCTCCAGCGAGAATGGAAGCTGACCAAGTTTATATCCTTGAATGCTTTTAGATCAAACTCAGAGTATTGGCGGTGGTCTGAATCACCTTTAATTGTTTTACTTGATGTGTGTACCTGTCATGTTTTATGTAATTGTATCTGGCTGAGGTTTTTAATCTCAATGGGATACTACTGAGACAAGGCCAGCAGGTGCTTTTAAGAGCACAGGGAAAAGGTCGGCCTGCACAGTATTAGAAATGTAGGGCATTGGGTAATTTGAAGCATATAGGTTATAGTTTAATTTTTGTTTTATGCACTACAGCAGCAAGTCCTGAGTATCTCGGAAACAGTTGTTGTTTTGTGCTTTACAATTGCTATTTTTCTTAAATTTTTTATACCTGTAAATGCTACTGCAGCACTGTGTTCATGGTTCTCACTGATCTAGACCAGAACAGAGGATTCACGGCTCTGGACCAGACCAAAGAAAATGGTCCGAACAAAGTGTCTATTTCATCTCTACCACTGTGTCCTTATTATTATTGTTAGCTACTTTTAGAATTATGTTCTTATTAACAGATGTGTTTATGCTGCTACTGGACACCTGAATTTGTCTTACTGTGATCAACATCTATCTATCTATCCATCTTCTCGCTATGTCCGCTCAGTGGGTTCATGGAGACTGGACTTAAACTTACACATTGCTATATTCATGCAGACTGAAGACGACGGCAATGACAGCCATTCGCCTTCATTTGAAAGTTTACCCGGTGAAACCATATCATATAGACCCAGACACAAACCAGAAATAGAGAAGGAGCTCGGTCATATGAAAAGGCCGAGCTGCCAAAATAAAGAAAAAAGGTTTTTGGTTCAAATTGTCCCGGGTGATATTTCCATAGAATAGTAAACGCTAAAGGATTTGGGTGATTGCAGAAGATTGGAGAGAAGTTTTTCTCTCACCAGAGTGATCCCCAAGCTCCACACGTCCGAGCGCACGTCGTAGCCTTGTCTGGAAGCACTGGGGTCTATCCTCTCCGGCTGAAAACAAAACACACACAAGGATCAGCTCAAACTTTCTTCCTTTGCACCGTGTTAGAAGCCTATTGCTTTAACGCAGAAGAGGCCGATCAGAGTTAGCTCAAACATGCTATTTGAGCGAAAAATATGAAGTCAAATGTACGCAAAGGCTGTTGGGTAGCAATAGCCCAAGGTCAGTGATCAAACGCCAACCAGGAGCGGCATCGGTCTGTCCCCTCTGCTGCTGTAAGTCAATAGGAGCCAGAGCGAGTCAGAGCAAAACCCCGTCCATGAGCACTTCTCTTTTGGGCTTCTCTGCTTTAGAATTGATTTTAAGATTTTACTGATTACTATTAAAGCTTGTTTAGGTCTGGCACCAAGCTATATTTATGAACTTTTAACCCCCTACGAGCCTTAGATCCTCGGGCAGGTCCTTGTTGACTGTTCCAAGGTCGAGGCTCCGGACGAAAGGTGACCGAGCCTTCTCTGTCCGGGCTCCTCGGTTTTGGAACGACCTCCCCGAGGAGATAAGCACCACCAGCATCTTCTTTTAAATCACTTCTTAAAACCCACTTTTATCAAACAACTTTTAATTGTCAGCTTTAAACTTCTCATGTCGTTTTTTACTGTCTGCTTTGTATTGTCTTTCTTCTTGCGTTTCCTCTGTTTGAATTGTCTTCCTGTATATATTCTATCCAATTGTTTTAACTTTGTATTCTTATGACCGTTTCATTGTTTATTATGCTGACTGTGCAGCACTTTATTATTATTATTATTATTCTCTGAGCTAGTGGGTTAGGTCTTTACACACTGCTGTTTCTGGTATTTTGGCCCATTCCTCCATGCAGATCTCTTCTAGAGGAGTGATGTTTTGGGGCTGTCGCTGGAAAACACAGGCCTTACAATTACCTCCAAAGATTTTTGAAGGGATTGAAATCTGGAGACTGAGGCCGCTCCAGGACCTTCAAACGCTTCTTCCAAAGCCACTTTTTTTGGGATCATTGTCATGCTGAAAGACCCACGTTTCATTTTCAAAGCCCTTGCTAATGGAAGGAGGTTTTCAGTCCAAATCTCACAATTTTTGGCCCCATTTGTTAATTCAGAACACCATAACTACTGTGAAGCATGGGGGTGGAAACATCATTCTTTGGGGCTGTTTTCTGCAAAGGCACCAGGACAATTGATACATCATTTATTAAAGCTCAGGACAGCTGCCTTATACTTACCACGTTTTTAACACTTCATCCAGAGCTGATGAGGAACAAACCACTCTCTTTGCCTGCTTTTTACTCATTTTGTTAACTTGTGGGATATATTTTGGCACTATAGTGTCACGTGACCAAGATAACAAGAGAATCAAGTCAGTTTTCATAATATGTTATTGTTCAGACTCGGATAATGGAAATAGTTATCCAAGTAATTATTGTGACCCAGTACAGAGCTCCTCAGGGTCTCACCGCCATGTAGGGCCTGCAGCCTGCGTCTCTGGTCTTAGCGATGGAGTCCACCAGCTGCCCACTGATGCCAAAGTCACACAGCTTTATGTTCCCTCGCCGGTCCATCAGGATGTTCGAAGGCTTGATATCTGCGGAGGAGAGAATACAAGAGCTGGTTTCATCTCCACCAGAATGCTTGTCATTAGTTAGTTTCTTCTGCTAATAATTCTAGATTGGGCAACATAATTACAAAGCATGACATTTACTTCCAATGCTGCAGATGACACACAGCTCTACCTGTCTATGGAACCAAACCAGGCATATCAGTTAGAAAGGCCCTCTGCCTGTGTGAAGGACCTAAAAGCTACCTGCTCCGCAACCCAGAAACAACAGAAGTAATCTTACTAGGCCCCAAACGTCTTGGACTCAAATTCAGCCGCATGAGTTCAGCAAATCTGACGTACTGCCTCTGATGCAGCAAAACATTGGGCTATGATGCAATATTAACCTGTAGTTCCTAATCATGCTGCTTCTAAATAAAAAAATACTTAACGGAAGACAGAACCAGGCACAACAGAATTGTGTGTTGTGGCATTCCCATCACTACAGACTACACAATACCATGGGTCAATAGTTGAAATGCTCACCTCTGTGGATTATTTTCAAGTTTTCTTTTAAGTGATTCAGTGCTTTAACCGTCTGTGAAGAACAAAGCAGGATGATGTTAGAAATACAGTCTAAGGTTTTATGCTACGCACTGATGAAACCTTCTGATGTGACTCACCGCTAATGTTATTCTGCCTAGTATTTCCTCTGGAATGACGTTGTCTAGTGAACTATATACATATTTGTAGAATTTATCTAATGAGGTAGCCATAAGTTCCATACAAATCCAGCAGTCACCCTGTGGAGAGACAGTTATAACAGTTACATACAAACAGTACAGACGTATTAACCCATATTTAAAACACTCTTCTGTCAAAAGTATAGATTATACTGAGAATCAAAACTTTGGGGTCACATAGAAATATCAGTCTTTGTGACAGAAAGTGTGTTTCACGATGACGGCCGAGTTTGAATGGACCGATGCCCACATGTTACCGAGGGGCATCACTCCAGTGTTCTAATACTATAGTGCGGTGTCAGCCATTGTGTCACAGGTGAACTGATGATTAGAAAACCCTCATGCAGCTATAGAACTTTATAGCTAAAGACCCCTAACACTAAACTTTAAACTGGGGGAGGATACCAGAAAACCCTTGATAAATACACCTCAAAGCATTGCTTTCTATTTTTTTTTTTACATCCATCAATGTATCAAAACTGCTTTTGTTTTTACTCCTCTTACAACCCGTCTTTTTACATACGCCTGTTCAGTAATTTGGCCGTAATTTAGAATTTTGGATCTGGGACGAACATCTGATAAGGCATGTGTGATGTCGCGGGACACTTCTGAGGAAGGTGGAAGTTTTCTGTTGAAACATGTGAAAAAGACATCACTTTCTTCAATTGTCTGGTAATGTAGCGATAGAAGAACCAAAGAACTTATAAAACTGTATTTTATATAAATCAGCTGTAGTCCATTATGAGGCGAGTCCCTGGGGTCCTGGGCGCTCTGTGCTGTGTGACTTTAGAAGACTTGATCCCCAACACGCCAACCTTTGCTACTGTTGTCTCAGGTCAACACGCCCTTTCAACGAGGGCGAGAAAACACACGTCTGCGGTGTGTGAAGGTCTCATGAAGAATATAACATCGCCTAACACTAGTACATTTCATGGGAAACCTATGACACAGATACGTTTTTCCTTGTCGATGCAGGAGGGTCTTGTTGGACAGTTAGTGTCCAACAGAAAGGATTGGTGATGATCAGGACACTTTAACATTCTACAACATGTATGGACATTTTCTTCTGTGTGTGCTTTATATTTTTCATGTGTTTTAACTGTTGATTCTCTGACCTGTGTTGGTGATTTCAATGGTTTTGTTAAGTCTCTGAGATGATACTGTTGTGACTTAGGGCTATGCAAGAATAAATTGTATTGTATTGTATAAACATTTTGGATGAGTAAGAGAGGAGTTCCTGTACCTCCCTGAAGAGGGCGCCGTAGAACTGTACAATGTACTGGCAGTCGCTGCTCCTCATCACCACATCCAGGTCCATGAGCAGCTGCTTCTGCTCCTTCTCATCCACCGTGGAGCGGATCCTCTGTACACACACAACACAGGCACAAAACACACACACACACACACGAACAGAAACGCACATATAAATGTACACACACAGGCACAAACACACACACACACGAACAGAAACGCACATATACACGTAAACACACACAAACACACACATACACACGTACACAAGAACACACACCCGCACACACCGGCACAAACACACACAAACACACACACACACACACAGAAGAGATGAAGACAATAGAAGATTTCACTCCCTGTTTCCAACATTAAGCATTAATCTAAGGCATAATATAAAAGTTGTGTGAGTGACCATGGAAACCAGACAACAGGGGCGTGGCTAAGCAATGATATATGATGGATCTAAAAAGTACAAACACACAAAGCGCAAGCATGCGGCTCCTGTAAAGCCTGGTAACAACAACATTATGCGTCGGACTGGTGTTAGCAACGTGTTAGCGACGCGTAAGTGGCGTGTTAGCGACGTGTTGGTGATGTGTTAGCGAGGCGTTAGCGGCGTGTTAGCGACGTGTTAGCGACGTGTTAGCGAGGCGTTAGCGACGTGTTAGCGAGGCGTTAGCGACGTGTTAGCGAGGCGTTAGCGACGTGTTAGCGAGGCGTTAGCGACGTGTTAGCGAGGCGTTAGCGAGGCGTTAGCGACGTGTTAGCGAGGCGTTAGCGAGGCGTAAGCGAGGCGTAAGCGACGCGTAAGCGACGCGTAAGCGACGCGTAAGCGACGCGTAAGCGACGCGTTAGCAACATAATCATCTCACCGAAACACACACTGAGGCCCAGTTTATACGGAGACAATGCAGCAGTAAAACGCTGTGGTTGTATGTCGGTTGCTACCCCCCGTTCATACGGAGACTGTGTTCCAGGGGGGTGAAAACATAAGAGTTGAGATCCAGCCTGCAGAATGGAGCAGCTCAGAAACGCTGCTCAGCGGGGAGCTTTTTCACACCCGCTGAAGGGGAAAAGGTGTGAATTCTCTGCAGCTGCTCTAACCCCCAACTCCCTGCTGCTCCCCGCCCGTAAATTTGGACATGCGCAGTAGAAGAGAACAAACGTAAACAACAATGGCGGCGGGTATACTAACTAGCTACGTGTGCTTCGAGCACTACACAGTGGAGGATTCTACTTCTTCGTTCGTCCAAACTCTAGGTTGAGTTTCTATTTTCGCAGCTGCTGGCAAAATGCAGAATGATGTAGTAGTAGTAGTAGTAAGTAAGCTTTATTTATATACCGCCTTTTCACTGCACATCGGAGTCTCAAAGCGGTTTACAATTGTTATTTTTGGGAGTGGGGGTCGCCAGAACAGGAGGCACATGCCAGACCTATTGTACATATTTTTAGTGGTAGGGGAAACCGGAGCACCCGGAGGAAACCTACGCAGACACGGGGAGAACATGCAAACTCCACTCAGAAAGGCCCTAGTCCAACCGGGATTCGAACCAGGGTCTTCTTGCTGAGAGGCGAGAGTGCTATCCACTCTGCCACCGTGCCGCCCAGATGTTGGTGCATCTTTCACGTCTTGCAGAGGAAGTGAGTACACTGCTGGGGGGGTTGGGCCTAGTGCATGTCGTGTTGTAAAGTTCCTCTGCCCACTACTGTCCGGGCACTAGAACTAAATCGTTTTTGATCCTCATATGTACGCTGTGAAATTTGCATTATGAGCCTAGTCGTTTCTGCTAATAGCTTGGCAACGTCTACGCAACGCCTCCGTCTAAACTGGGCCTGAAGCTGCAGTTTATACAAACAGAAGATGGCAGAGGTGAAAAGGCCTCCACATCGTTCATTCATTATCAGTCCTACAGACACGTTTTATTTGAAACATATCTATACATATCGTCACATTACAACCACAAACAAAAAACTTTAGGGGATTTTTAAGGATTTTTAAGTGAAAGACCACCACAAAGTAACCGACAGTTCTGAAGTGAAGGCCTTTGTACATGGACACACTGTCCCATTTAAATAAACAAACAGATAATTAGCTGTATCTCCCAAACGTTACACACACATGGAGAGGACATGGTGGAGCAGGTTGTACCTTAACGGCCATGATCTGTCCCGTGGGCTTGTGCACCATCTTGTTGACAGACCCGTAGGCTCCTCGCCCGATCTCCCCCAGGTCCCGGAGGTCCTCTGCAGTAAAGTCACAGTGCTGCTCTGGGGAGATCTTCAGTTTGCCTGACGACTCTATGCTGTGAGTCCGCAACCTTTCTCTGCAGAAAGATCAAAATCAACCAGTCACCAACGACACAAGGGGAGGGGCCAGAACATGAGGAGGTAACATTGAGGATAGACTTCTACTCGTACTGATGGTACTCCAGTCCGGTAATCCTTCACCACGAGCAAGTCACATTCTTGTGGTATCTCGGGCTCACTGGTGATAGTCTACTTTTCTGTGGGTTTTGTGGGTGCAGCATTGGTCTGCTGGTCTCTTTACTGCTCATACCACCTCCAACTAAAGCCTGTTCCAGCCGTCTGTATCTCTGTGCTTTGCTTTGCCTCTGTCTATCCTACACATGGTGATGAGACCAATGATGGATTAATATGTCAAGGAGCCACGGCAGTCAAAACCTATTTTTCCATCTGTGTGTGACTCACATGTGTGGGTTGTGGGACGTGGGAGCCGTAGGGTACAGGGGCAGCCGGGAGGTGGACTTCACAGGAGGGTTTGCAAAGTTGAGTTTCAGGGCCTTCCGTTTACCTGGGGACACAGCACACACTAACACCTCAGACCTATAGGGCCATATTGTTTACACCACAGACAAGAGCTGAAAGACATATTAATGTATTTATGCCAGTATCAATGTCAAGAGTTGGATATGAAAAACATCAAAAAAGATCAAATATATTTCCCTCACGTTTGCCGTGCATGTACAACTCTAGTAGTCACAATAAACATAATTTGCACCACTACATCCCTATCACTGACCTGACCTTACAGCCACAGTGAGGGCATTTACTGGTTCCATTCTGATGATTATACTCTACTTTACACAATTTGCTCAACAAAAAAACAAACCAAAAATCGAATTTATATTTTAGTTTTTTTTTGCAGTTTGCAGTTTTGATTTTTGTCACTCCTCAATATTCACGTCATAGAGCAGTGATTGCCTGGAAGTCCACCTCCAGATGTTGATGCTCTTGGTCAGGACCGGAGCTGGAGGATTTTACCTTTTGTGAGACCAGGACCATCTTGTTGAGAAGCAAGAGTGCTAACCACTGTGCCACCCTGCCGCCTCAAATACATACAATAAGTTGTATATGTACAACTCACAAGAGTTATTTAATATTTGAGTAAAGCTCCCATTTTGACTCAACCAAACTATAGAGTTTCTGACCTGCTCATTTCCAAAAAGATGGGGATAGGTTTAATTGAGCTGTAACTTTGGTTTTGGTGAGATTGAGGGTGCGATTGATTAACATTACTAAATGGAATTCATGCAGCAAAACCAATAAATAAAACACAAGACGCAAACCAAACTCGAAAGCAGCAGGTGTGGGCATTAACAGATTGTGCACAGAAATGGTGAGAAGTTAAAAATCCAATACCTGTTTCATTTTGACACCTCCAGCAGCTGTTGGCTTCTGAAAGGTGTAATCAGACATGTGATTGGGACACATCCACAGTAAGAACCGTCACTACAGGAGCAACGTTCCGGCTACATATATTAAAGAGCACGCAGTATACATTATAGGACTACATTAAAAAAGTAACAGATTATATTTGAGATATGTAGATATGTATATCTTGGTTTAGGTTACCATCTAGTGGTAACCTAAACAATTCTATAACTCTTATTGTGTCCTTTCATCATTTTCATCCAATTCTATTCTCAAACACTGCTGCTTCTTTATAATTTTTAACATCATGTTAATTTTACAACCTTGGAAATGTATTGGCAACCCAATAGAACTATAATCAGCCACCACCTGCAGAGGATCAGCGAGGGACTGGTGCTATGAGCACTGGGTGGGAGCTCTCATTGCCACCCCCCCCCGTCCCAGAAATGGACTAATAAAGGGGTCGAAATGAATTAATGAAAATGAATGTGTTTGCAATTTGAATACCATTGTATCCCAGACATAATGCATATTTCAGGGTTTTTTAATTATTGCAGCCTTTAGCTGTATCAAGTGGTTTTGGTGTGATTATCAGGAATACCCATTTATGTTTGTATTAGTTTTCTTTAACAGAGACTGTGAACATTCATTAATATTTCTACAAAAAGGTACCAGAATTATCATTCTTTCCTTGTCCCTGAACAGATGTTAAAAAAGGCTCCCTGAATGTGATATTAAAACACAATAGCAATAGATCAGTACAAACTAAGACAGTATACATAAGAAAATAGTTTAAACACTGCTGTCAGACAGTGTGAGTTAAGCCGGGTGAGTTAAGGTATGAAAAAAAGAAAACCTGGTGGAAAATAGTTTTGACACCGCTGTCAGACTGTACAATAAGTCACTTTAAGTCACTTGCACAAGGACTAAAAACCTGCACAACAATTGCCACTGTTTCTTTAATTGCCAATTTTTATTGTACATAATATATCCTGCATTTAACATGTTTGCACATTTCTTTCTTTTGCACAATCTTGAGTGTTTCTATCCATGCCAGATGTGACATGTACATTTCTCCTGTGTGAGATCATTCAAATCTATCTTATCTTTAAATACAGCAACACATTTCAATAGAAATTGTAAGTTAGAATGGATCATGTTGGGTAAGTTTGATAATTAGAGACACTTCCTCAAATGTATTTTAAACACATAGTATGGGGCCATTTCCCTGATGACCATAAATATCTGATATAAACACATGTGACAGAGGACCAAAATAAATGTGAAAACTAGTGACATAAACAAACTGCGTTAGACCCAGGAAGCAGACCGATTGTGTTACATAATATTTGTTTTTTGTCGTTTGAAAGCTTGGCACCCCAGCTGTATTTGTAAAACCAAAAGAGCCGTTTGAACTTGCTTGTTAATAGTTGGATTTATAGGAAATGAAAGCTTGAACATTAGACAAAAATAAATGTCGTGCATTTAACATTATTTGGAATGAATGAATGAATGGATGGATGAAATTAGAAAGGACGTAAAATAATATAATACAATCAAACTTCCAGCGTCAATAACACTCGTCTTAAGTGACATTTCTGGATGTTTTTGCCCTCCATGAGTTGAGCCTGCACAGCTGCAGGCCTGCTGAGCTAGCATTAGCCATGATGGAGAACACACCTGCTCAGCTCTCATGAAGCCTGTTGTTTCAGGCCTTGTCACGTTCTACATTCACTTTACACTTCTATATGGAATATTTCATGGGCTCATGTCGCGGACAGTGGAGTGTGGACACAGTTATAGCAGAGTTCGTGTTTATGCTAACAGCTAGCATCCACCGGACTGACGTAAAGGCACGTACACCAGCACGTACGCCAACGGCGCGGAGGACTCTGCCGCTTTCAAAACAAGAGCCTGGACTACTGCCTTCACTTGTTACAACCGGTTTAATTTGAATAAAAAACTGATATTGTTTCCAACCAAAGACGGTCCCAATACAACGATGCATTTAACACTAGTCAATTAACACAGTTAACACAGTCAATTTGACTGCATTTAGTTTTGAAAGTGTAATAACTCAGCTCATATACATTGTTAATCTTCATATCTTTGTGACTTATTCTGTTTCTATAAGTTGTTGTTTTCTTTGCTATTATTATGCTTAAATTAACTTTTATTGTTTTAAATGTGAGGAGCTCTATCATCAGCTAACTCCTAGAAAAGCCCGTACTAGTTACCATAGCAACAAACTGTTTACTGTCAGCAGTTAGCATTTAGCTAACTTATATGCATCAGTTTTAGCGAATATTTGAAATTCCTTGTAAATAACTTATAAATCTTCAGAATTCCATTGGTTTGAATGGAGAAGTCAAAATGATGACTCTGAGTTCTAGTAGAGTCCGAATTTTGGGAGTCTCAGAGTTAAAAGTTCAACGTTGTCTTACAAACACGCTGTCTGCACCGAGCCCTGCGAGTCATTATTTGATGTTTTGGGCTAAGAGCTGATTGGCTGAGTGAGGGTAACTAGTTTTTGGGCTAAGAGCTAAGTGAGGGTAGTTTTTCACTGTTCTGTCTAAAAAAGGTTTGACAGAAGGGAAAAATACATGCATTACAAACTTAATAAAGTAATAAAGTAACATTTCTTCGTCACTTTGGGACTCATAGGGTTCTTCTTTAAATATGCAAACGATAACATAGTTTCTAATCAGATGAACAGCATGATTAGTTTACGTTTCACTGTTAGAAAAATGGACCCACATGCAGCTTTAAACGATGTATTATTATGATGTCAGATGAAGGCACCAAATCTTAATAAATGATTTTGAGTGAATATTATTTATTTTCTTCACTTTACTTTGACCGGTCAAAGAGGAAACGCGCTCAGTGAGCTCCTCCGGTTTGACTGCGGTCGCGGGTGAACGATACTCCCGGTCTGTGATGGACCCTGACCGGGCTGACACTCACCCTGCACCCCGCTGCTGTGGCTGTGCTGCTGGAACTGATGCGACGCGGAGCCCACCCCCGCTCCCCCGAACGGAGAGCCCAAAGAGCCGCTGTCCGGACCGGGAGACGCCATGCTGTGCTGCTCTCCTCTGCGCTCCTCTGCCCTCTGCTGTGAAGTTTCGACTGGGACACCGCGACCCTGAACGCACCACGGCACGCAGCGAAACCAGGAGATGTTCACTGGCGACTGGGAATTTTTCTCGTACTAATAATATCAATATTAGTGGTTCATCAATAAAATCAATATATGAATATTTACAATCTATGGTAGAATGCGGGAAAAAATGCAACTACCAAACTACAATCTTACTATAGCTTACTTTATCTAACTAAATGTATCTATATTTCCAAAAAATATATTCCATTTAACTAATATGGTATAGTGAAAGTAAACTATATTAAATTCAAAATATTTCTAAATCAGAACAGCAGCGGTCTTGGGGGACTTTACAAAGCTATTAATTCGTCGAACAGAGAATTTCAGTGAATCAAACAGGAAATGCAATAATAGCAAATGCATAGGAGCCATTGGTCAATAAGGTGAGCATAAATGTCTCGGATAATCACTGTCCTCGGCTTAGATCCTCCTGCATCTGCTAGGAAAAACGTCTGGGAGGCTCAAATTGAGATCAGCTCCCACGGCCGGACAAGCTGTAGGTCCAGGACTCCCAGGCGGGGAGGGGCACCTCACAAGTCCAGGCCAGGGGTGACCCGTTCACAGATGAAGGTAAAAGAGGTTCCCATCATCACTCAATTGGACACTGGATCTAAAGCAACGGACTACATCTGAAGTTAAGTAGGAGAGAGGAGACGGCTCAAGTTACCACACTTTTCCCAGCAAAGGGTCTCAATTTTTACTCTTTGATATGTAAATCATATAACTGATATGATACTAGTGTGTTTGAGGTGGAGGGGGACATAATATCTATGGCCCTGTATACCAAAAAAAAGGATTTTAAATATGATTCAAGGGAAGCTAGTGGAGTGATTTTAACCCCAGATATGTTCCCTCCCTTTGGTGCCTCTTAAGATCCTGGCTGCTGTATTTTGGACGAGCTGGAAACTTTTAAGGCACGCTGCCAGCAGGACGTTAAAGTAGTCAAGCCTTGACGTGACAAATCTATCAGTTTTCTGCATCACGTTTAAGAAAGATATTTCTAATTTTGGCATTTCTCCAACCGCTGAAAAGATGTGCAAGAGAGTGCCCATGAGAATTATGGGACACACTATCCCATGCAAATATATATATATATATATATTTTTTGTAACGGCATGACCCGGTTATAAAACATACTGCTGCTGAGGCTTTGTTTTATGATGCAGCTGAAAGCATTTTACTATTGAAACTGGCAACCTCAATGAGACAATACTGCTTTCGAACCTTACTTTCATATCTAAAATCCTGGAAAAATGTATAGCTGAGCAGCTTTGCTGCCACCTGCAGGAAAATAATATGTTTAAGTCTTTCAATCAGGATTCAGAGCTCATCATAGACTGAAACGGCACTAGTCAAAGTCACAAATGACTTACTACTGGCTGCTGATAATGGACAAGTGTCAGTGCTGGTCCTACTGGACCTTAGTGCTGCATTTGACACAACAGACCACAGCATTCTACTGCAGAGGCTAGAATGTGCTATAGGTCTTAGAGGAACAGCCCTTGGCTGGTTTAAATCCTATTTATCAGATCGGTATCACTTTGTCAACGTAAATCAGAACTCGTCACCTTATTCTGGAGTAGAATTCGGTGTGCCGCAGGGTTCGGTACTCGGACCGATTCTTTTCACTCTCTATATGCTGCCGTTAGGAAACATTATTAAAAAGCATGGAATTAATTTCCACTGCTATGCAGATGACACACAGCTTTATCTGTCGATGAAGCCAAATCAGACAGATCAGCTAGAAAAGCTCAGTGCTGCATAAAGGACCTTAAAATGTGGATGACTCTTAACTTCCTACTTCTCAACCCGGAGAAGACAGAAGTGATCCTACTCGGTCCGAAGCGCCTGCGTGACTCCCTCACTAACCAGATGGTTACTCTCGATAATGTCAGTATTATACCCAGTAACACTGTGAGGAATCTTGGAGTAATTTTCAACGAAGATCTCTCCTTCAAGGCTTATATAAGCCAAGCGACTAAAACGGCGTACTTCCACTTACGGAACATCGCTAAAATCAGGAATTTTCTTCCTAAAAGTGACCCGGAAAAACTGATCCACGCTTTTGTCACCTCAAGACTTGACTACTGTAACGCTTTATTGGCAGCGTGCCCTAAAACCTCTTTGAAGAGCTTCCAGCTCGTTCAGAATACAGCAGCTAGGATCTTAACAGGTACCAAAAGGAGGGAGCACATAACTCCGGTGTTAAAATCACTCCACTGGCTCCCTGTGGAGTACAGAATAAAGTTTAAAATCCTTCTCGTAACATATAAAGCCATAAATGGCTTGGGTCCTTCTTATCTCCAAGACACGTTAGTGTTGTATCAACTAAGTCGAGCGTTGCGCTCACAAAACGCCAGACGTCTGGTGGTCCCTAAGGTCTCAAAAATCACTGTTGGCGGCAGAGCATTTAGCTCCAAGCTCCTTTACTGTGGAATCAGCTTCCCATTTATGTTAAGGAAGCAGATACGGTCTCCACATTCAAGGCCAGGCTTAAAGCACTCTACTTTAATTTAGGATATAGTTAGGCCTGGATCGGTTTGCACACCATGAATCTTGGCGCTGTAGCCTAGACTAGCCTAGCCGTGGCTGCTGCTGTCTCACCTCCTTTCAGATACGCTCTCTTTATTCAAGGCTAGGTTTAAAACAGTCCTCTTTAGTTTAGCATATGGCTAGGAAGGTAAGACTCAGGGAAGGCTAAACTCCTCAAGCTGTCAGTCAAGCTGCATAGGGAGTCAGTTTGCTGGGAGAAGTATGGAAACTGGAGCACTATCCTCTCCTCCTTCCTACTTTATCTGTTTAGCAGTATTAGGATTCTGACTGTAGTTTGTTCATTGCTATTCACCCGTTGTCCCATTGTCTGTTTCATGGTATGATGACGGGACCTCTGGATCTGGCCTCCTCCATCTACACCTGCGGACTGCCCTGCCCGACCCACCTGGGAGGGCTTCAGTCCTGTACCGGACCTGTCCAGCCGGAACGTGGACCAGCGGCCACTGGTCCACGTTCTGTAGCTTAGGTCCTAGATAATTAGCCTGTCCGTCCGGAGGAGCGGATCCCTTTCTCAAATGTGGGTCTCCCCAAGGTTTCTCACTTTTTCCCAATGGGTTTTTTAAGAGTTGTTCCTTGTTGATGCAGGAGGGTCTTGTTGGACAGTTAGTGTCCAACAGAAAGGATTGGTGATGATCAGGACACTTTAGCATTCTACAACATGTATGGACATTTTCTTCTGTGTGTGCTTTATATTCTCCATGTGTTAACTGTTGATTCTCTGACCTGTGTTGGTGATTTCAATGGTTTTGTTAAGTCCTCTGAGATGACTTCTGTTGTGACCTAGGGCTATACAAGAATACATTGTACATTACATTACACATTGTATAAAAAACCTGGAAAACTGTTTTTGTTGTATTATTTCATATATAAGTTTTTATATATATAAACTATTATTCAATAATATAAAATTTCTACGTTACACCCACAGAGAACAACAAGATTCCAGGGCATGTGTGCCTCGCATTGCTTCAAAATAGAAAGGAGGCCAACAAAGAAAAAAACTCGGATTTCATTGTGAGTTCATTGAACTATTACAGTTTTGAGCCAATTGGTGGCAGACGTCTCCTGGTTTCCTGCAGAGCTGGTTAGTCTTCTCTCTGCTCTCTAAACATCTTCATACAGGAGGTTCTACTTGGGGCTGTTTGTAATTCACACTTTCTGTAGCTCACAGTTTGGCCTGTCGCAAGAAATCAATTAATCGCATAATTAGAATTAGCTCGATAATATTTCTGGCCGTGATAAATGCCATTTGCATGCTTGTTTGTTTTCCTCGTCTGTCTCTCTCCCTCTCGGGTCAGAGAGCCGCAAAGTGGTCACAGACTCAAAATACTCAAATATACAAAATACAGCCAAAACAGGAGCTAAACCAGGATTGACAATGGGGGACACAGTGCTTGTGAAGATATGCCAGCCTGAGTTCTCATTCTCTAGTAGTGACTAAACTATCACAGCTAGCGTTTTTGTCGATGCAGAAGTACCATTTAATAATCAAATAAACTTATTGCGCACCTCCGTGAACACAAACTACTGTTATATAAAGTCTGTGGAAGGTCTCTGGACAAAGAGACTCTGCAAAGCCACTGCCGGCAGGCGCCACTGCCGGCAGGCGCCACTGCCGGCAGGCGCCACTGCCGGCAGGCGCCACTGCAGGCCAGGACTTCTGGTCCGAACATCCCTAGAGTCTGAAATTAGAGAATGTGCGTCTAGTGCGTGCGGAAGCTGTGTTCCATCGTCGGTGGTCTTAGTAACGATGAGTGAACCCTCATGTCAGTCACTTGTCAGTCGCATGGTGTGTGGGACTACTGCCGTGAATTATTTCTAAAACAATTTTTGCATATGGCCTATTGAGGCAACTGTTTCCTAACTTTGTTTACAAAGGTCCTGGTCCAGTTTTATTCCAGTTTTTGTGAACAGAGACTGAGAGTCTATTTTATTTATATTTTTTGTTTTTTTGTTCATTTATTGTGTTCTAGTGTTAAATTACTTCAAAAATAAAAGTTCATATCTCTTTGAAAAGGTGTACCTGCATCATTATCATTGTATTAGATGAAAAGGCCTACTCACAGTCTAAATACGATTTGTCAAATGGCCTTTAAAGCAGATTAATAAATCAGGTTTATTTTGTCTGTATAGGCACAGTATACTACTGACCCCTACCCAAACACAAATTTAAATAAAACAAAACCTAAAGCTGATTTTCTTAAATAGGATTCTTTCAAAGTTCCCTGAAACAAAGCCATTGTAAAATCCGTCGTCATCATCAGAAAGTGCTCTTTTGTTGAGGTTTGTCATTGTTTGCTCTTTGGTTCAGTCAAAGCGCAGGACTCTGCTGGTCGTCCTGCCCTGTCCCTCCAGCTCCATCCGGTCCCGGAACACGCTCACGGTCCCAAAGGCCACGCTGCCCGGCGGGCTCTCCACCACGCCCTCCAGGGTCAGGTGGTGCACGCCGCCGTCCTGGTGGTAACCGCCGTCGTGATCGTGTCCCGCCATGAAGAGCACCACACAGGGGTGAGAGCGCAGCAAGGACAGCACGGCCGCATGGTTCCAGGCCAGACACACCGGCTCTGTGGAGGCGGGGTGCACAGGCACATGGCCTGAGAGAGAGAGACACACACACACGGAGTCACATCCTTAAACCACAGTTTGTACAAAGACCACAGTTTCCCTGTCTAAGCCCTAACACTAAAGACCTTATTAAGGTGTAGTAAAATAATTTGTGGATATCAAAATTGCAAGACAAATAATCAATTGATGCCAATCTGAAAAAGATTCCGGAAGTCTAAGTATTTTTATTGAGAATGGTAGTATCTCAATTTGGGGTGCCATCTTCTTCCCCTTAATCCATTTCTGGGTCTGGGAAGTGGCAGTCAGAGCTGCACCCAATCCACAGATCACCAGTCCCTCACGGATCCTCCTGCAGGTGGTGAGTCCACAGGAGGCTGCTCTGTCTGTGACGTCACAGCCTTGATCTTTCAGCGGGGCTTCGGGCAAAGTGGGGTTATGTGTCTTGCCCAAGGACAAAACGACAGCACACATCAGTCGGGGTTGGTAGAAAAGGTCTTGAGGTGGGCTTGAACTAACAAATCTCCAATGACCAATGCTCTACCAACTGAGCTACTGTCACCCCCTCAATTTGGGATGATCAAAGAAAACAAATAACTACCTTGTAGTTGTTATGTGTGGTATGTGGTAGTTCTTTTCCATTATAAAATGATATTTAAACTTTACAAACCCTGCATAAAGTATTTAATATGAAGAACAACTCAGTTTTCAAACTCACTACGAGGAATCCTTGGATTGTGACGTAATGGACAGAGCTGTTCCAAATAAGTTTACGTAATTGCTCGTCTCTGGTCACAAGACATCCTTCACATCTGTGCACCTTCAATGACACTGCAGCATTCTGAGCATTCTGATCAGAGCAGGTTGAATGTATTGAGATCTACAGGATGAACTGATACCTGGTGCAAAGTGACCTTTACTTACTGACGATGGTGACTTTCTCCTGCTCGTCATCTGCAGCGGTCAAAAGTGAGTCCAACCAGTCCAGCTGCTCCTGACTGAAGCCTCCGTTAAACTTGGTGTATCTTTGCAAGAAGCAGTCCGCCTCGGCTAAAGAGAGCAGAGCTCACTGTTAAAGACTGTTATATATCATTTCATACATTTGTGATGATGTAAGAGGAGAGATGAGTCTGCAGGTCGCTCGTCACTGCTCTGCACTCACTTTAGCACAGATCGAGACAGAATGCTTTTATGAAATCTGACTTGTGTTATAAATCTATATTAACACATGGACTCCCAGAATTATGAACCACTTGTCCCAATGGAATTCCAAGAAATGTCCCAAAAAGTTCAATTTTCCTCCAGGTTTTCTTTTTTTACCTTAAGTCCCCCATCTTAACTCACAGACAGTGTCTGAGGTATACAACTTGAAATACAGCAAAAACAGTTTGTTAAGCTACCATGCCAACTGCTAGCAAGTACACAGTGTGTTGATATGGTAACATGCGTTACTCATATCAACATGTTAATAGAAGTTTATTTTTATGAAATGATCTTTTATTTAAAGAGTAAATAGACTTCCAAAACTAAAAGCAGTCAAATTGACTGCTCTGAGTTCTAGTGTTATATACATATACCTATTTATCTGTTCTGTACTTACAGAGAGGCCAACGGATGGATGAGCAACATGTTTTAGTTCTGTATCTCTGTCAAAGAACTGTACGTCCAGGTCACGATGGATGGTTCTTAGAATATTAGAGTTGTATCAGAGTAAGAAAGACACGCCTCATGACCTCATGACTCTGGGCAGAGCTTTCGAAGGAGGACTGTGAGCAAAGGTGACGGTTGTACTTCTTGTTTATGTCTCACTTTTACTGAAATAAATGAACCACACTTTGATGGTATTACAGCTCTTGGTTTTTTAGTTTCCTTCTCGTTATTTACATGTGTGTGCGTTCACCTACATGTGTGTGCGTTCACCTACATGTGTTCATGTACTTATGTGTGCGCTCACGTACATGAGTGTGTGCGCTCACGCACATGTGTGTGTGCGCTCACGTACATGTGTGTGCGCTCACGTACATGTGTGTGCGCTCACGTACATGTGTGTGCGCTCACGTACATGTGTGTGCGCTCACGTACATGTGTGTGCGCTCACGTACATGTGTGTGCGCTCACGTACATGTGTGTGCGCTCACGTACATGTGTGTGCGCTCACGTACATGTGTGTGCGCTCACGTACATGTGTGTGCGCTCACGTACATGTGTGTGCGCTCACGTACTGGGCGTGGGAGGACAGTTGAGGTCTGCGTTGCTGTTGTGTTGCTGGAGCAGACGCAGGGCTCTCTGGTAGCGCAGGCTGCTGTCCTTAACTCCCAGCAGGCTCAGGTCGTAGGCGTCCAGCACCACCATCAGGAAACCGGGGTGCGGGCGGAAGCTGTAGGCGCAGATGTCCCCCGAGGGCCGCGGCTCTCCCAGCGGCATGTCCACGTGGAGAGTACTGACAAAACAACTTTGAAAACTTTACCAAGACACTGGGACACACATCAGGTTTAGTCATTCATTCATTCATTCATTTTCTGTCCCTTTATTAGTCCATTTCTGGGTCGGGGGTTTATCAGAATATCAGGTTTCTGTTGAATTTAAAAAGGACACATATTATTATGCTTTGTTATTTTTGACCCTGAAATCTAATCTTGACAATATTTACCTTTTACCCCAAAAATCAATCATGTCAACTCTAAAAGGTCAGTTTGAATTCTTTTGAGGATTGTCATTATTTTTATTTAGTATTTTTATTTCTTTATGCTGACTGTGCAGCACCGTGCTGTACAATTAAGATTTATCATTAGTATCATTATTATAGTTTGAAAAAACGAAATAATTAAACTCTAGCCATTTGTGTTTGTATGGTGATTTATAATATACAGAGATATTCAATAATGATAGGAGTGTGTATACAAGTGTGTTAATCACGACTGTACGATTCACAAATGAGACTGAAATATTATGGCATATTCTTGAGCAGAAATTTACGCAGACAATTCGATCGTCCTAAAGTTGAGTGTTTTGAGGTAATTTCTCAGTTATTCACAATTCACACGAAACAAAAACTGTCACATGTAGAAAAGGACTTTCAGACATGAGAATAATATCGAGGGTTTGGGAATATCATCACTATCATGATCAGGAAAACATTGAGAAGTTATTTATCAACATCTTTCAAAAATCCTTTATTTCCCACAGTTGTCCAAGTGCAACTGTATCCTTTATTCATCTCACAGTGGGGAAATGTCAGTGTGGCATCACCGTATTACAGAACAGTCGGAATGAGGAGCAAACTGCACAAGATAAATGTATATTAACTCTATTATGCTGAAGTGAAAGATTTATTTTATTTTGATCATAAATAAGCAAGTATAAAATACTGTATATTGTAGTGCAATAAATAAATTGTATGCCTTCATCTGTACATGAGGGGTATGGACAAAGGCACTCAGTAAAGTGACAGTTGATACATGTGATTCTATATTGCACATTCTGACACTTTTCAGCTTATAATTGCACAGATAAGTAAAGTGACAGTGGACACATGGTTCTGTGCCTCTCACCTGTTGAGCTCGGAGACCATCAGCTCCTCTCTGCTGAAGTTATAGAGCTCATGGTTCCCCCACACATGGAACACCTCTTTCCCCGCGGGACTGAGGCGGAACTCCCGGAGCACCGTGTCCAGAGCGCTGTGAGAGCTGGAGGAGGAGGAGGAGGAGGAAGAGGAGGACCCCGACTGCTGCTGCTGAGCATTCAACCCGTCTATGATGTCTCCCAGCTGGAGCACAAAGTCAGGCCGCCGCGGAGCCCGGGCCCACAGCTGCAGAGCCTCCCGCAGCACACGCAGGCTGTGGCGGTAGTAGCGAGTCCGAGTCCCGGCGAAGTTACAGCCGACCTCCGCGTCTGCGTACTGGATGTCCGCGATCACCCCGAAGCTGAAGAGCGGCAGGGCGGACATGGTTCTGCCCGCTGCCGGGGTGAGAAGAGGGCAGCGGAGGAAGAAGAGCCTGTGTCCAGAGCTCACATGGAGGAGCACAGAGCCACACGCCACGGTGACAGCGGCACCGCCACTTCACCGGGCGGTCACGTGACAGACCGGGACCAGGAAACAGCTGAGAGGCGACCTCCGATTTCAAAACACACGCCTCCTTCCCATAGACTGTATATATTATCCTTCCTTATATTGACCATGATGGGGTCCAATTTGACCTTAAATAAGCACTCAATAAATCTTAGAATGATCTTGAAATTCACTTGATAAAACCTGGAGTACCTCGTCATATAACGAGTAACATTTTGAGAACAGGGAAGGAAAAGGAAGGAGCTCTGTTTGAATTTGAACGCAGACTTTCGGTGCTGCTTCAAAATAAATCCGACCTGTCAATACAATTCACTTCCTGGAATCCATTCCATACTGTCCGTACAATGTTCAGTGGAGTAAAGAAAACAATGCAGGTTGTTATCTTTTAAAACATCTAAAACATTTTATTCATAATAGTTTTCATGGGGACCATCTCATTGGGATGGTTGTTACTGAGAACTCCCACGCGCAGATTGTGGAAGACGCAAGTTTCTGGGTTTAACTTTGTCTAATGACTTGAAATGGGACAAAAACACTAATCAGGTTGTTAAGAACAGTGTTCCCCAACCTTTTTGAGTCGTGGCACACCTTGTTCATCGAAAACAGTTACATAAGTCACCACCAGCGGAAACTGCTCCAAAAATCAGCTTTGTTTAACAATGCAAAAGCATTCTAATCAAAGTGTATTATATAGAAAATCAAACAAGTCTATTTGTCTTCTTTTTCTGCGGAAAAACTCTAAGATTCTGCTTCACGTATCGCTGCACCATCACAGCCAAAGAAAGGAGAGTCTAAACAAGGTGCTCTGCTCTGAAAGAGGACTGTGAGCTGTGAGCTTCCTGTTCTGGAGGCTCTGTGTGAGATCAGAGATTAGAACAGCACCAGGGTCTACAGCACCAGGGTCTTCAGCACCAGGGTCTTCAGCACCAGGGTCTTCAGCACCAGGGTCTACAGCACCGGGGTCCTCAGCACCAGGGTCTTCAGCACCAGAATCCTCAGCACCAGGGTCTTCAGCACCAGGGTCCTCAGCACCAGGGTCTTCAGCACCAGGGTCCTCAGCACCAGGGTCTTCAGCACCAGGGTCCTCAGGTCCCTGGGCGGGTAAGCCACAGTGGCCTCTGAGCTCTTTGAAGAACCTGGATCTGTGCATGTGCTTTGTTACCTGCACCAGGACTCTTACAGACATTTACTTTATAAACAATCATCACACTTTAGATCCATTTCAATTGAATTTTTATTTATTCACAGAATTCAAAAGGCAGCCAATTCTTCTGCAGCCACGTCTCACTTCAAAGCTTTGAAAAGAAACAAAACAAACGTGAAAATAAGTAAGAATAGTATAATAGTATGTACAGTGAGGTCCACAAGTATTTGCACACCCTGCAATTTTGCAAGTTCTCCCACTTTAGGGAGAGGTCTGAAATGTTCATCAGAGATGTTTTTCCACTGTTAGAGACATAATCTAAAAAGAAAAAACGGAAATCGCATTATGTAATTTTTTAAGGAATTTTTTATATGTTCCTGGGGTTCATAAGTGTTTGCACACATGAGAATGTCAGTGTTAATACTTAGAGCAGAAGTCTTTGTTTGCAGTTACAGAGGTCAAACATTTCCTGTTCACCAGGTTTGCACACTTGATTTTGGCCAACTCCTCCACACAAACTTCTCTAGATCTCTAGAGGGTTTCAGGGCCGTCGCTGAGCAACACAAAGTTTCAGCTCCCTCCAAAGATTTTCAATTGGATTTAGGTCTGGAGACTGACTAGGCCACTCCAGAACCTTCATATGCTTCTTATGGAGCCACTGCTTGGTTTTCCCGGCTGTGTGCTTCGGGTCATTGTCATGTTGGAAGACCCAGCCACGACCCATCGTCAATGCTCTGATTGAGGGAAGGAGGTTTTTGGCCAAAATCTCACAATACATGGCCCCGTTCATCTTCTCCTTAACACTGTGTAGTCGTCCTGTCCCCTTTGCTGAAAAGCACCCCCAAACCGTGATGTTTCCACCCCCATGCTTCACTGTTGGAATGGTGTTCTGTTCTTGGGGCGATACTCATCCTTCTTTTTCCTCTAAACTCGACTGGTGGAGTTTATACCAAAGAGTTCTATTTTGATCTCATCTGACTACATGACTTTCTTCTATGACTTCTCTGGATCATTCAGATGGTCGCCGGTAAACTTTAGACGGGCCTGGACATAACCTTTGGTGCGATGCATGATTTTAAACCACTAAGCCGTAGTGTTCTACTGAAAGAAGCCTTGGAAACGGTGGTACCAGCTCTCTTCAGGTCATTCACCAGCTCCTACCATGTAGTTCTGGGCTGATTCCTCTCTTTTCTTATCATGAGTGATGAGGAGAGATCTTACATGGAGCCCCAGTCCAAGGTAGATTAGCAGTCATGTTTAGCCTCTTTCATTTTCTAACAATTGCTGAAAAAGTTGATCTATTCTCACAAAGATACTTCCCAATGATCCCAGAACCTTTTCCAGCTTTGTGATGCTCTTCAATTGTGTCTCCGGTCTCTTTTGACAGCTCTTTTGTCTTTCCCATGACAGCAGCTGGAGCCTGACTGACTGCAGCCTGCACCGGTGACTGTAATGTGCTCAAACGGGTGGTGGATGGGTGATTAGGTATGGGGGAATGGTGGACTTTTTTTTTAAGGTGGACTGTCAGCTCTTTGAGATTCATGATTCTAGCTGCTTCTCATGTGTGCAAATAAATATGAACCCCAGTAAAAAACAAATAAATAAAAAAAAATCATAGAATGTGATATCTGGATTATTCTTTTTCGATTATGTCTACAGTGTAACAGTGGAAATACATCTATGATGAACATTTCAGACCTATCCCTAATAAGTGGGAGAACTCGAAAAACTGCATGGTGTGCGAATAATGGTGGACCTCACTGTACGTTATCAATTGATAGTGAATATTCACATTTGTATTTGATGTAGAATGACTAAGTTTGTGTCAAAATATCAGCTTCCATTAGTTAGTAAAACATTGAATGTCATAGTACTATGGAACATTCCAGGTAAAACCACAAACCATAGATGGACTCACTGTTGTGGATTGCAGCTTTAATCTACTACAGGACTATTTGAGTGCATTTTACAGCCTCAGCCCCTGCCATGACAGGCAGTCTCCAGTCACAGTACTGAGCAGCCCTTGCCCTACTGGTCGTTAGAGATTTGTCGAGATGAGGCTTTGACAGGCAGCTCAGGCCTCAGATTACCTGCTGTATTCCTGTTGTGGGACGTCCCGCTGATGTACTTTGGGATCCAGAGGACATCTGTGCGCGGCCCGATGTCGTCCCACTCCCCTGGTGCTTTGTCCTGCAGTAGAGAAGAACAGCTACTGAGCACAAACATGAGGCCATATGCAATGAAGGTGGAAATGCCATGTGAACCAGGAACAACAGTGGGAAAAAGGGGCAAGTTGTTTGAACCTATGTCTGCTTTTTTCCACATGGGGAGTTCAGAAACGTGTCAAAATGAAGTTCAAACAAACATAGTCTTCTAAAGTCACAGCACAATCCGAGCCAAGGTAGTCCGATATCTATTAATATTTACAGTATTATAGCTACACTGTACATGAACATTTTCAAATATATTTTTAACAAGGACAACTTTGTAAAGGTAAGCCCAAAGGCAACAGCCCAAACTCTGATGGAAAGAGCTTCACTCTTGTTAAACCGACATTTCGATGTGACTTGTGTGTACTTTTATGACCTTCTTCAGCGGAGCCACATGTAAACAACACCCTATAGAACATCTTGGTTTTATTGCTGTCTGAATTATGACTACATGTGGTCAGAGTGTTCACACTGAACCCACCTCTGCACAAAGACTAACTTGTGAGTCAGGTTAAAGGCCCAGTCCTTTAAACACACCTGCCTGTGTCGCGTGAGGACGAGGCAACCAGGGGTTTTTGCTCACAGAGAATGAGACTATAAACACTCTGCCAAGAAAATCATTCAAACTCATGGCACAGACACTCAACGGCAAAACATGCAATGACTTAAAGTGTCTATAAAACACAACATAGAGAGGAAAAACACACAAGTCTCCAACAGGACACTGTGTACGTTTACAACACACAACTAAAAAACTGATCTACTGCAATTTCATTTGATGGAACATGTAAATGCATGAACGCTATGTTTCCGCTGGTGATACGTAAACTGGATCCTACTTAGACCAGACCAGCAGATGACGTTAGGAGCACAAGGAAAAGCTATGCCTATAATGTAAAATGTAAATGGACGCATGTAGGCGACTCACTCCTTTTGATCATTGTGATGAAGCTCACAGTCACTCTGCACTGTTTCATTGTTTTGGTTTCATTACGTGAGGCAAAAGGAAAAATTATACACTACCGTTCAAAAGTTTGGGGTCAAGTGTTTTCCATGAAAAGTCACACTTATTCACCACCATACGTTGTGAAATGAATAGAAAATTGAGTCAAGACATTGACAAGGTTAGAAATTATGATTTGTATTTGAAATAAGATTTGTTTTACATCCAACTTTGCTTTCGTCAAAGAATCCTCCATTTGCAGCCATTACAACATTGCACCAAAAACCAGACATTTGCAGCTGGAATAGTCATTTACCACATAAGCAATGTATAGAGTGTATTTCTTTACATTTAGGACTAGTTTAAAGTTATCTACAGCTTTTCCTTCAAAAATAAGGACATTTCAATGTGACCCCAAACTTTTGAACGGTAGTGTACGTTTAATTGTGGTGTGGAAATGAAATGGCTTGTGCTGCTGCAGTTGGGCCTGTGTGAAAATGAAGTGTTCGGACTGGACCCCACAGTGGTCAGACCGGTTTGGAAGCAACATAGAGTCTGGTTTTGAACATACACTGTCCTCTTCTGCTTTGTAAACGTACTCAGTGAGGGCCACAGCACAGAACATCATGCTCAGGTAAACGTTTCACCTCCTCCAGTCCAGGGAGGGATTCAGGGTAGGGAGACTTCAGGGACTTTGTGCTTCTCTTCTCCTCCTGAGCTGGCTGTGTTGCACAGGGTCACAACAGATATCTACAGTAACTCTGATTTTTTGACTAGATTCATATTATACATTTGAGTGCATCGTGGCACTCAATGGCATAAATGACAAAGATAGTGCTTTTTTATCATTGTTTGATGTTGAACGAAGTCATTTGTTCCATGTTCAAATTATAATGAAAACTGTAATGTAAGAAACATTCACAACATTTTACCATCTGAACATGTAGTGTCTAAAACAAACAATCCATGCATTTGGCTCAACTGCTGTTACGGCCTGCTCACTGGGCTCTCCAAACAAGGCAGAGCTGCAACAACCAGACGAGAGCCAACAGCCAATGGCTCTGTTGGGTCCTGCAGCGAGAAGGAGTTTTTTTCCTGAAGCCATAAGACTGCTAAACTGGGCCTAACTCTCTCTCTGTTCTGGTTCTGGAGTCTGCTCTGCTCCTGGTGGATCTGATAGAAAAGCCACAGCGGCCCTTTCTGGACCGGTTTGGACACCTCTGACATAAACTAAACTAAAAGTTCCAGGCCTGTTGTTGCTGCACACACCGCTCAGCCAACTCCAACGGGGACTGGCCTCCTGCTGGGACTCTGAGGAGCACAGGGACTGGCCTCCTACTGGGACTCTGAGGAGCACAGGGACTGGCCTCCTACTGGGACTCTGAGGAGCACAGGGACTGGCCTCCTACTGGGACTCTGAGGAGCACAGGGACTGGCCTCCTACGGGGACTCTGAGGAGCACAGGGACTGGCCTCCTGCTGGGACTCTGAGGAGCACAGGGACTGGCCTCCTACTGGGACTCTGAGGAGCACAGGGACTGGCCTCCTACTGGGACTCTGAGGAGCACAGGGACTGGCCTCCTACTGGAACTCTTTTACAAAAAATGCATTCTTTCCCTTTTATATTTACTGATACAATAATGATGATACAATCCAAACTAAAAAACTCATTTTGACACAACTTTGTTAAAAAAATAATAAAACAGCTCTGTGACGTCATAGTCTCAGGGTTCATATATGATATGATATCGTTCCTGCAAACGTGGCACTAACAACAACCTTAGGTCATTTGCTGCAAAACCAGTAATTTCTCACATGGAAAGATACACAAATAATAAATACATATGGTTGTTGGCAGATCTTATTTTTAGTGAAAACATAGTCAATGTAGTTTTCATTCTTTTGTATTAGTCTTCCCAGGAAATACAATTGAAATAATACTCTATAAACAAAAAATGACAAAAAATGATGAGAAATATCTTGTAACTGCACGAGGTGAGGTTTACCTGCTCCACTTGGATGAACTCTCCGTGCTGCTCACAGTTCAGATCAAACACATACTTCCCAGGACCTGTGGGCTGCAAAGGCACGATATTCACACATTCATACATTTACAGAGTTACAGAGATACTCACTCTACAGACTGACATCCCATAGACACATTATGAACTGTGTCAGTAGGATGTCAGGCCCCTTACCCTCAATAACACCTTATTAAGGGTAAGGGGCCGGTAAAACCCTTTGGTCATTCTTCCTTTGGTAATACTCTGCATATATTTTCAAATCCCTCAGAGTTTCTCTTATTTCTTTATATGATTTTGTATTTTAAAGCTAAATGTTTGTATACAAAATGATAAAAATTTCACCACAACATGTCGTCTTCATCTTATTAGAAAACATGTAACATTATCATTTTTATAATTTAGAAAATGTTATACTTTAGAAATGTTTTATTATGCCTTATTCCTTCTCTACTCTAGACTTGTTAGCACCGAAAGCCAAAGCAATTTCCTAGACTTCCTGTTACTTACTGTATATGGCAATAAATGTCATGGTGTAGATTTTATTTCTGTATTTGGTTTTATTTTAACATTTATTCTATGTGGTTTCATTTAAGTTTGACTTCCTGTCCTGTTCCCCTGTTGATTGTCTGCCCCGCCCTGATGTGTTTCACCCAGTGGGGGCGGGTCCAGGCTCAAAAGTGGCCAAATTGACGGGCGCCGACATGCTTGCAATACCACCCCGAGCCAGAGGGCTGGACCCGGAAAGGGAATTATTCAATGCTAACATATAGCATTGTGTGACCTCTTGAATACGTCTTTACAGGATGGTCCAAAAGTTGGCTCTTGGCCCAAAGCTCCGTTCCACATGTGTGTCAATGCTGAGGGGGGTGAATTTTTTTGGACCAGTCTTGTTTAGTCGCGGTGAATTTTTCAAATCACTCGTTGAAATGAATGGGGCTCGTGCCGGCTGACGCATGCACAGATCTATGCGTTTTTTCACATTTTCCAACCCCCGTGGCCATTTTGAATCACTCCATGAAAACACAATTTTTGGCCCATTAGTTAGAACGGCGGAGATAGGCGTGACCGTTAATACAGTCTGTGGTTTCACCTGTGACTCTGTCTATTTGTTGCTGGTCCATTGTGTTGTCTCTGTCTTTGTTCCTGGTTTCTGAGTTCTTGTTTGGATATTGAGTTTGTTTTCACCTACACTTTTATTTTATTATCGTTAGACCCTTATTTTTGGCATTCCTGCCTTTTGGGTCCTTCATGCACTTCACTTCATGGCAATAAAATGATTGTGATTCTAGTATTTTGCATCTTCCTGCTTCTTTGTGCAGCAGCTCAGTCAGAGGAGCTCACATCTTGGTTTCCTTGTTTTGATCGTCATGTTGTTAAATGTACTGGTTCCTCTGGCACCCCCTCCACTGTTTCTGGTTCACTACTCTTCATTTTGTATTTAGGTCGTGACTAAATTGGGTGCTAATCTGTGACGTGTATGTGTTGGACTCGGAGGCTCTGACTTGGACCTGGTTGTCAGTGTGTGTTGATCAGAAGGACTCACAGCGTTCCGGACGAAGCCGCCCTGGTATCTGTGGTTGGAGTGGACATACTCTCCCTCTCCCTCCATTCGCCCGTTGTCCCAGGAGCCTCTGTACATGGAGCCTGTGCTGTGGTAGTGGTAGGTGCCCTGGCCGTGCCTGCACACAACAAAGAATGACTGGGGGAGTCTTGAGTATTTAAATGCTTTAAATGGTAATAATTAGTGCTGTGAAACTATCAAAATATGTATTTATGATTAATCGCATTAATATCATAATTAAATCACAATCAATTGCACTTTTGTCTCTGTTCTACATGTCCCTTCATTTGGTTTGAAAAGGGATTAGATGAAACAAAAATCTTTAAAGGAGCAGTATGTACAAATCTGGCCAAAAGTGGTACTGCAACCTCTCCCACTCTCCCTGACTCAGGTTGCCAGATATGCACATATTAGCTGAACAGACAAGAGATTTGTCAACAACAAATCTAGAACCAACACCTTTTCCGCAAAGGCCCTGATTGCCATCCTGTTTTTTAAATTAATGATTTGAGAATCATAACGAGACCTTTTTTAGTTCTGCAGCCACATGGTACTTTACCAGTGAGATTGACTTAACGCGGTGAGTTCTGGCAACCCGGATAATGGACATTCTGATCGATAAAATGGTGGTGGGCGGGACATTGAAATTTAGTTTATTAGTTTAGTTTATTAAGATCCCCATTAGCCACTGAGATGAAATGAAAACAATTTAGGGGCTGTAAATACAATTTGACCAAACCAATATCTCGGCTGAACTACTGTTATCAGTTAAATAAGTATTTGAAAAGAGCATGTTTTATTAATGCCTTTGGACAGATTAGGGCCATTTAATTATGACTTGACATGAAAATCTTACTTATTGCTACTTTAATTTGTAAGTTCAGCAGATAAAAAGCAGGTCAAGCCTATTACAAAAGCAGTCTCTGTAAAGTATCCATCTATCAGCAGCAGGGTCATCACACTGAAGTGTCCGTCTGAGTGCTTCATTTAATTCCTGCAGCAATAACATTATTTAATGCACAGAATTAATTTGAATGTTTGTGTAAAATCACCAAAGTACTCAGCTGTGGCAACGGAGTAAAGTCCTGAAAAGGAAAAAATAAATATCTATCTACAGTAGTTTGTGTTCATCACCGTTCGTGCTGGTGCCACTGGCCCTCGTGCGTGTCTCCGTTGGAGTAGGTGTAGATGCCATGGCCGTGCCTCATGTCTTTCACCCAGGACCCTGACATCCACAAACATATGCAGGAACAAGTTACACGTCTACAATGGACAAGTTTTGTTCAAATAAATACTTATTATTCCCCATTGTGGATGATTCAGCCAAAGGCCGCAGCTGGATGCCCCACTGCAGGACACACTGCCACATCAACAATAGGAACAGCACAAGCAAGAGGCTTCTGGGCTTTAAAATACATGTATACATAAAGTTGTGAATGAAAATCATAAATTATCTCTCTTTGTTGGCTTTTACAATCATTTTTCAGCCGTTTTTTTCACTGTTTAATCTTCAAGGCTGGAAATGTCCTCCTGCTGGGACTCTGGGGACTACAGGGACTACACTCCTGCTGGGACTCTGGGGACCACAAGGACTGGACTGCTGGGACTCTGGGGATCACAAGGACTGGACTGCTGGGACTCTGGGGATCACAGGGACTGGCCTCCTGCTGGGACTTTGGGGACCACAAGGACTGGCCTGCTGGGACTCTGGGGATCACAGGGACTGGCCTCCTGCTGGGACTTTGGGGACCACAAGGACTGGCCTGCTGGGACTCTGGGGACCACAGGGACTGATCTCCTGCTGGGACTTTGGGGACCACAGGGACTGGCCTAATGTGAATTGTGTTTAAAGTTTGAAATATTTTATATCTGTGTCATAAATGTGATATAATTGATTGAAGAGCTAAGAATAAAATGAACAGCGTAACAAGTATTTTACTGGTGTCATTGTAGCAGTCCTGATTCCAGCACTATTTTAACAGTGTTCCTCGCAGTTTGGACCTTTCATGTCTGGGTCTTCTACAGCGGCGGACACACCTTCGTACTTGGAGCCGTCTGGGTAGTAGAAGGAGCCCTCTCCGTCTTTCATATTGTGCACATAGTTCCCCACATACTTGGCTCCCTTCTTGAAGCGGTAGGTGCCCTAAGGAACACAAAACTACTGTTAGCTACAATAAGTTCATTTATCAATTTCAACTATTTGATTATTGAAATAGTTGACATATTTAAAAATCAATGAATCACATAGACCTCACATAACTTCACATAGACCTTGTGTGCTTTTATTATTGTTTTATGCGTTCAGGATTCACAGTTTATGATCATATAAAATGCTGTGTGGTTGTTCGCTTGATAAATTAGCTAATGCATTAGCTAATGTACGCACTTTGATGTCCACATGTCAGAGACACACTTCAGACCTGTGGTTTTTGACACTGCAAAAAAATGTATGAAAAAGAAGTCAAACATACTCAGAATGTTCTCTAATCAAAGATAAGATTAAGACATAAAAAACACTTGATTCAAGCAATTATAACCTTAAATTATATTTTTATAAACACATGTAAGCTTCAGCCTAAAAAAGTTTGATTTTAAGGGTCTCCTACCAAAATATATATATATATATATATATATATATATATATATATATATATATATATATATATGTGTGTATATATATATATATATATATATATATATACACACATATATATATATATATATATATATGGCATATTATAATGTATATATATATATATATATATATATATACATTATAATATAGTAATAATTAGTATAGTAGTAAATCTGTCCAAACATGCTCAAATCATGAGTTTATTGTTCTATTTCATCAAGTATCACTTGTTTGCAACAAAAGGATTGGGCGACAGTAGCTCAGTTGGTAGACCTTCTCCACCGACTCCCACTGATGACTGCTGTCGTTGTGTCCTTGGGCAAGACACTTAACCCCACTTTGCCCAAAGCCCCCACTGAAAGATCAAGGCTATGCTCACACTCAGAGAGCAGCCGTCCTCCTGTGGACTCACCACCTGCAGAGGGTCAGTGAGGGGCTGGTGCTATGAGACTTGGGTGGCATCTCTGACTGTCACCCCCCTGACCCAGAAATGGATTAAAGGGTAGAAAATGGATGGATGGATGGATGGATTACAATATCGATATATATATTGTAAAAATCTGGAAATCCTTGCTCAGTTGGAATGAACCCAGATTTTAGCATTTTGATTAATAATTGTGTCTGACTGGTTTAATTTGCTTCTCCACGTCGAGAGGAACCAGTTGAGGTGGCTCGGGCATCTGTTCCGGATGCTTCCTGGACGCCTCCCTGGGGAGGTGTTCCGGGCACGCCCCACCGGGAGGAGGCCCCGCGGAAGACCCAGGACACGCTGGAGGGACTATGTCTCTCAGCTGGCCTGGGAACGCCTTGGGGTCCCCCCGGACGAGCTGGAGGAAGTGTGTGTGGATAGGGAAGTCTGGGCGTCTCTGCTTAGATTGCTGCCCCCGCGACCCGGCAACGGATAAAGCGGAAGAAAATGGATGGATGGATGGATGGTTTAATTTGAGCACATATTAAATACAATAATATAATAATATGATGCTGCTTTGGAATGTTTCCAATGACAAGAATTTCAAACATTGCAGGTGATCTTTTCTCTCTAAAACAGAAAGTGTGGGATTCTGCTTGTCACAGTGAATTGAGATACATTTTGCTCAGATGGTTTGACAGCACATGGTCCTGCTCTCTCCTGGTACCTGTCCGTGTCGTTGTCCGTTCTGGTACTGGCCTTCGTACACGTCTCCGTTTGGAAGCACCGCTCTCCCAGAGCCGTGTCGCTCTCCTGCTTCATTCCGCTCGCCTTCATACTCCTGCAGACACACAACACTTTACCACTACACACTCCTGCAGACACACAACACTTTACCACTACACACTCCTGCAGACACACAACACTTTACCACTACACACTCCTGCAGACACACAACACTTTACCACTACACACTCCTAGTACAGACACACAATACTTTACCACTACACACTCCTACAGACACACAACACTTTACCACTACACACTCCTGCAGACACACAACACTTTACCACTACACACTCCTGCAGACACACAACACTTTACCACTACACACTCCGTTGTGAGGTGCTTTGTGTTGCCTTGAGTAGGAAAGGCGCCATGCTAATAAACGGTGATTGATTGTTACGTCACACATCGAAAGTGTCAAATCAGAGACACTCAGAGCACGTCATAGTCATAACATGATGCACAATCAGAGTCCGTGTAGAGTCTTGCAGTTGTCCACCTGCTAAGCTAGGTCAAATACTGTAGCTATCTATCCACGATACTATGTTATTATATTTAACCTAAACTAGATAAGACTAATACTAATATAAAGCGTCCAACATTTACCTTTGCTAGCTGCTAACAGGAACTTATTTTGCTAGCTTAGTCGTCTAATTTATTCATTAATAATCGAGTCCTTTTCTCACCCCAAGTGTATTTTGCTCGTTTTCCAAATCTTCAGATCCTGCATCCGACATGTTTTTGGCCTTCACTGTGGAGAAATAGAGAAAACTGGACGTTAAATTCTCTGAAACTCGGGAAGTGAACGTTGGTTTGAGAAGTGACGGTGGTCGAGCCGCGTGCGCTGCAGTTTGTTTACGGTAACCATGACAACGGTAGCGCGCATCATCGCCTGAACGAGCCATGTCTGTTTCTCCTTTATTTTAAGATATATATATTTCCGTGTGTTTCTAACTCTTTCTTTCATGAATGTCAGGGGTGTTAAAAGTATGTTTCAAGTCCCAGAAGCGGTGGCTCAATGGTTATCTGAGTGAGGGGTCAGTGACGTGCGTGGTACACTAGATGGCGCTGTTTGCCTGAAAAATAAGACCACAATGACAGCAAAAACACATTCATTCACTTTCAGCAATGAATTGTATGACAGATATTTGTTTTGTTCTATATATAAATGTGGCTACACCATCTCTGCTGCTGTGACCTATAAGTGCTGTTGCATTTTATTGTTAGCTGTTTTGAGAATGATCTTTTTATTTGTTTTGTTTGTATGAATGGATCTGTTTTTGCTGCTACTTGACACCTGATTATCTCCTACGGGGATCAATAATCTATTTATTAATTTTCTAAAGTCCATAATTATCTTTTACGCGGAGATAGTCAACAATTGCGACAGCTGCAGCACTTTTGCTTATCTTAACACTTTATTAAATTAAATTAAAGTGATTCACTGTTGAATCCTTATTATTCTACTAAACAAAATATGATGCAATCTTATCATTCCACACAGTATGCTACATTCCAGACTCAACCCACATGAAAAAGTGAAGCTCATGATGAACAAAGTGGCAAAGGACTGTTATGTGATTTAGAAATATGTTTAAAGGGAAATCTTACAATCTATGACAGTTGCGCCTAATGCCTCATACCTCAGGGGTCTCCGACTTACAGCTACAGTACCAGTAGTTCGCCACCCCCTTCAAGTTACCCAAAGGATATTCTTAATAAATAAATTATGTTTATGGGTTTAGGACTACACTGCAAACATGCCAAAAATAATTAAGTTAGAAATTGCTTCGGAAAAAAAATTCAATTCCAAAAATTGATTAAAAAATAAAATTTGCCTTGAAAAAAAATAAATATTTGAAAGTCTTCTGGGAAGAGGTTGGAGGCCCCTGCTCTAAAGTGGACCCAAGTGGGCCTTTGGTCTATCACTAATGGAGAAAAGATTCTCATGCTGTGCTGTTTTTCTAGACCTAGCTGCTGCATTTGATACCGTACCACATCCTGCAATAATTCAAAAGCTTCCATCATATGGAATCCGTGGTAAACTCTTCCGTTGGATTGTAAATTATCTCACTGATAGACAGCAGGCTGTTAAAATTAACAACATTCTTTCAGAAATACGTCCTGTCTACTCAGGTGTGCCTCAAGGAAGTACTCTGGCTCCCACTCTGTTTGTACTGTTCATGAATGATCTTTCACATCTGATCCCTGGTGAAATTCAGTCATCAAGCAAGCCAGGCACTGTCAACGATTGTCTGCTTTATGCTGATGACACCACACTGTTTGTGGCATCCCAACAACTCCCTCTAATGGTAGAGAAAGTAAATCAAGATCTTCTGGACATTGCCCAATGGGCTGAAACTTGGGGTATGCAATTTAACCCAAGCAAAACCAAAGCAATGTTTCTCTCCAAAATGCAAAATACAAACATTGACATTAAATTCATGGGCTGTCCAGTCGAAATGGTTAAAGAACATCTCCATTTAGGATTCTGGATTACAAACGATCTAAAATTTGACAAACAAGTCGACCACGCCTGCCGAAAGGTGGCATCTCAAATGTTCCTCCTTCGTAGACTCTCCCTCTCTGTTAAAGACAAAAATCTACTAACAAGACTGTACAAATGTTATATTCTACCTCACTTTGAGTATGCGTCATCTGTCTGGGCTGCGCTAAATGTCACACAAACTAACCGCTTGGAAAAACTCCAACGCCGAGCCATCAGGATCATACTACACTACCCCTATACACAACCAGTTACAGATGGGGATTATGAAGAACTCAAACTGGCTCCTTTAAAACATAGAAGAAACTTTGCAGTGATGTGCTATGGCTACAAGCTGTTACGTGGTTTACTCCCAAAGGCTCTCCAGTCCTTTTGTCCCATTATTAAACGAACTCCTATTCAAACACGGAATAAAACACTCGTCCACCCGGGCATAGAATTCCCCACGAGTCGAGCATTGGACCGATCTCCATTCCTATTTTTAACAAAGCTATTAAACAAATCTCCCGAGCTGTGGGACTGTCCCACCTTGGACAATTTTAAAAACAAATTATGGGACACCAAGCATAGGCTGATTTTTGATACTATGTTTTAATATTTAAGAAACCAGCCGTCAATGCCTTCGGGCACGACGTTTCTACATAAAAGTTGTATTAAAAAAAAAAAAAACATCATCCTCCGACATCTGCTTGACACCCCAGCTTTAAGAGTCCCCCTATAAGTTCTCCACAAACACAGACTCTCATGTCCAACAGGAGGTCTAACTTTCTTCAACCACAAAGGGTTGCTTTTGACCGTGCTATGTAAACCCTAACTTCAATCGTACTTCAGATATCAAAGTTATTTTAAATAGATTTTTCCCAGTAAGTGAATATTACTCATTTATTGTTAGTTTATTTAAAGCTTGGCGATATCACTCAGGGTTTTCTTTGAATTGAACTCTCTCTGTTCAAGTAAGCCTCACTTTTGACATTTTGACGTGTAGAGTCTTAAATTAGACAGGTGCGAAATGAAGTAAGGCAGCATGGTGGCTGAGTGAGTAGCACATTCACTTCTCAACTTCAAGATTGTGAGTTCAACTCCTGGTCGGAGCAAAATTTAAACTTCATAGCAATCGCTTGAGTTACCAATATCAAGTAAAGTATGTACTCGAGTAATTCAAGTGAAGTTAATATGCAATTTATTTCCAAGGTTTTTTCAAGTAAACTTTACTTGTTAGGGTTTACAGGTCACCGAAGTCCAGCGCCCAGGGGCCCCTCCCAGACGTGGGTGTTCAGCTTATTAGTCGAAATGACTGATGGTATGACCTAACCTACGCAGACACAGAGAGAACATGCAAACTCCACACAGAAAGAGGACTTTTCTTTGGCATCATGTTTGACTTTGAGGCGCGCATAGTTTCCTGCAGTGCGGACTCTCCCCTTGGCTCCAACTCAGTCCAGATCAGGGCTGGGACCGGGACGAGTGGGAGGATGTACTTTCTTACTCACACATTCATGTAATACACACACACGCACACACACAAACGCACGCACGCACACACACTCACACACACAGACACACACACACCCATACACACACACACAGTGAGAGAGAGCGGGAGGCGTGGAGCCCTGAAGCCCTGCGAACTTCACTCCAGCCCGTGCGCCTTTGGACACCGCGCGTTAGGACACATCTGGACACATCTGGACTTTTACGGACGGGTTTGACTGCTGTTTGGGGCAGGTTCGGGGTGTGGTCATGTCGGGCTCGTTCTGCCAGAGTTTGTATGACTTCAGCGGAGACCAGCACCAGCAGGGTCTGAGCTTCAGCGCCGGGGATGTTATCCGGGTGGTGCAGGCGCTTCCCGGCGGCTGGTGGGAAGGAGAGAAGGACGGAGAGAGAGGATGGTTCCCCTCCAGCTACGTGCACGTCCTGGAGGTAGGAGGACCCGTGTGCGTGTGCATGTACGTGTGGCGAGAAGCACACGTACATGCAACTTCTGTCTGCGGCTCTTTCTATTCAATGGTCCAATCAGAATGTCTCCTCTTGAGTGGGAAAGTTCATCGTTCATTATAAAAGCCTTTATTATTACTCGCTAAATGTGTGATATATTTTATCCAAGGTGACACAGCATCAGGTCCAGACCTCTGTAGTCTGATTGGATGAACTGATTCTGCTCATTTAGAGTTCAGTTTATACACAAGGTGCTTAACAAAACAAGAAAATAATTCAAAATCATGCAAGGTATTGAAATCATGATTAATTACAGTAAAAGAGTGAAGATGCAATCCTTCAGTTGTTTTCACAGTAAAACACAACTTTTATACTATCTTCGTGAGTGAAGGAACCAGACCCAGAGTGAGTGGTACAGTCCAGCTGCTGTGGAGGGACTCGGACTGGACAGTTTTCTACACAGGTGCAAAGTGAGTTCGCTCTCAAAGCCTTCGCTGTTATGAAGGTGTTACACAGTAGATTCCTTGAGGGTGGTTTCTTCTGGGCTCTTCCTGACTGAATCTGGTCAAATTGTGATTTCAAAAACAGTATTTGCCATTGATAGTTCTCTCAAACAGATGTTTTCGTTCACCAGTTTGCACCTGCACATGTGTTTTTGCCTCTGTCACGTCTGTACTTCAGATTATTCAGACAGAAAAGTAAAAAAGAGGAGTATACCGTCTCTCAGCTGGAAACAGTGACTCACAGGTTTCTCTCTCACAACTTAAACATCACACGTTTTATAATAACATGCTGTTTTATAATAACATACTGTTTTATAATAACATACTGTTTTATAATAACATGTATACTGTTTTATAATAACATACTGTTTTATAATAACATACTGTTTTATAATAACATGTATACTGTTTTATAATAACATACTGTTTTATAATAACATACTGTTTTATAATAACATACTGTTTTATAAGTGTTGTCGATGTTTGCAGAGATCAGGTGATGTCAGAATCGTCTCTGTCTGGAAGTCGTGTTCATGTTGTAGAGTTGTATTTCAGTATTTCAGCAGATGCCAATTCTAACCCTAACATAAAGAAGCTTTTTTGAAAGAATTGTTGCAAAATATTATTTTTTTACCAGTTTATTACTCGAATGTGATCCACAAAGATGTCTTATTTTTCTCATGTCTAAAAGTTCTTTCCAACATCATGCATTAGTCTCTGAATGAGACATTGGTGGCAAAGGTTTGGGCATTTTGTGCTCATGCCTGATTTGGTTTCAGTAGATCTTGCACACTTTATTTCGCTTCTGAAACATCACTGTGTTTGTCTCCTGTATGATATATTTAACTGACATTTCTTACACAAACAACCACTGATTTCTTAAAGTAAAATCATAAAAATTAAGCAAATGGATTAACGACGTTTGCATACCTCTGAGGTTGAAATGTACTGACAAAGAAGATAACATCAGATCAGAGACATCTTTGTGTCTCGCTCTAAACTAATTAGAGTCTGACTTTTGACAGTGACCAGGAGAGTTTTCAGCTGCGCTCCGCCACATGTGAAACTATGGACTCTTTGGAATGTGCTGATGTCACGTGACACAGACTGCAGCAGACTGGGATGAGGCACATCTCTGCCACTCCTTTTCTACTCTTCTTCCCATGACTACATGTGTGGTGTGATGTAGTAATTTCATGTTCCTCGTACGTACGACCAAAGAGAATTCTAAGAATCTGTCGACCTTCATTTATAAAGCTTCTCTCTAACCTCAGAGTTCACAAAGTGCTGCAAATGTTGTTCGAGCTGCAGTCACTTTTCACTTCATGGTGCACTGAGTTTGTCTCATGTGAAGGTTAAAGCTGCACTAACTGACTTTGGGATTTTGAAGCAGCAGACTCGCTGGCCTCTCTCTTTCTGCTCCCCTCCCCGCACCCACGAAGCTATCGCCCCCCACACACACTCACTGTTGTTGACGGAGCTAGCGTCTCCCAATATGGATAATACATGGATTTGCACGTGGATGGCGTGACCATAGAACGATAGAACCGGGAAGCGCGGAGGAACGAGACTTTCTTTTGGATGGCTGTCTCGCTGTGTAAGCAGTAACCGGTGATGAAGAGACGAAGCTTCAGGTTAGCTCCTTGGCTTGTTGTGCTAACTCAGCCGTCTATGCTAACGGACCTGTAGATTTCTCACGAAAGTGGGGGCCAGTGGTCCGCTGTGATTGGTCACAATCCGCGACCCGAAACACATTCTCTTCCTTGTTTCATCAAAACTCAATCTAAAATATAATGTCACGCAAGCACAAATCTGCGCTACTTTTTCGTCAAAAGGACGTATATCCCAATGCCCTACACGGATGGATAGCATTTTCGTAATGAATACAAAAATAAAGTCAGTTAGTGCAGCTTTAAGTATTGTTCAGAAACAACAGCAGTCTTAAAGTTATTAGAAAACATGTTATAAAGAAAGTGAGTCACTGACTCAGGGCTGAGAGCTGATTGGCTGAGGGAGGGTGGTCCTCAGAAAAAGCAGAACTAAAGGAGTGACAGAGGCATACACGATGTGAAAACTACTGATACAGATCTGAGTTTTCTTTCTAGGGACATGGATTTTATTTAAGTTTTTATTAAAGTTTTATGTTTAAGTTAACTTCAATGACTTTAACTCTATAAGTCAGAGGGTCACACAGATACACTCACACAGACACACACTCACACACATACACACAGACAGACACACACATACACTCACACAGACACACACTCACACAGACACACACACTCACACAGACACACACACACACACTCACACAGACACACACACACACACTCACACAGAGACACACACACACACACACATCTGGGTAGGGCTAAGCTCTCAGTTGTGCAAAAGCATGTTGTGGTCTGGACTTTCCTGATGCAATGAGATGATGTTGATCCAGTTTGTGTCGCAACCTTTTTGGTGACATCATGAATGTATCTGAAGTGTTTCTGTTTTAAACCAGTCTCAGTCTCTTGCTTGTATCGTCATTAGGCACACAGCATTACAGATGTTCATAATGAAATCAAACATGTCTAATGTGATCTTACACTTATAATGGCTTGGACTTCAGGTCAGTCTTTTTACTGATAAATCAATCAAAACAAACACTTTGTACAGACCCTGATTTCATTGAAAGAACCAAAAAGAATTATTTATCATTTTTTTATGTTCAATTTGAATGGAAATAAATACCTTTTTTCAGTCACTATGAGTGTCAAAGAGTCAAGCAGTGACTCACACGACTCTATCTCACAAGTTTGTAAATGATATTTTCACAGACAGACACACACACATGGACACACAGATACACACACACTTCTGCGTTCCTCTCACATTCCTGCTACATTCTCAGGTGGGCTCCCCCTCCCTCTGCCTCCCCCTACCCCCTTCTCACCCCCCCCCCCCCCCCCCTTCTCCCCCTCCCTCTTCTTCTCCCTCCCCTTCTCCCCCCTCTCCCTCTCCTCCCTCTGAAGCATCTCCTTGGCTTTTGTCTTCATATGGGCTTTATGCATGGATCTATTATAATAACTGGATAGGGTATTACTAGCTTGTAGCTGAATAACTCACGTGCTCAGGGGATTCTCGCGGTACTGCAGACTGAACCAGACTAAATTCACGTGGGCTACCCAGACATTTTCCCCATAGGACTCAATACATATTAAAACAGCTCAACCTCAGCTGACAGAGAACCTACAGCTTTCATAAAGGTCGGATTTTGTGGGGATTTTAGTGTCCCTTGTCATCCTGAACTTTTTTTCTTCTTAAATCCTTCCGTTTTGTTTAAATCCACACTTTAGTGCCACAAACTCTACTCCTCTGGCTCTCGCTCTAACTCCCGCTCTGATGAACTGCTCTGATTGGTCAGAGCGCAGCCGAGCCCCTCTGTGCACGTGCGTGAGACCCGCACGTGCACAGAGTGAAACCCATCCATCCATCCATTTTCTACCCTTTAATCCATTTCTGGGTCAGGGGGGTGACAGTCAGAGATGCCACCCAAGTCTCATAGCACCAGCCTCTCACTGACCCTCTGCAGGTGGTGAGTCCACAGGAGGACGGCTGCTCTCTGAGTGTGAGCATAGCCTTGATCTTTCAGTGGGGGTTTTTGGGCAAAGTTAAGTTAAGTGTCTTGCCCAAGGACACAACGACAGCAGTCATCAGTGGGAGTCGGTGGAGAAGGTGCAGAGGTGGGAATTGAACCCACGACCTTCTGGGCTTAAGGCCAATGCTCTACCAACTGAGCTACTGTCGCCCCTAGAGTGAAACCCACACACGCGTATTTGGCGCAACGCATTATGGGAGATCATCCACTGCGCAGAACCGGGAGGACCAGACGATGCCCAAATACAGGCGAGTTTCCCATAGATCTTTGCGGGTTCCAGGCGACTTCCGCTAATCTTTCAGCCCCCATGCCGTCACAAAGCGCCTGTCACTCCCGTATTCGTCCCGGAAACCGGATTCGTCCGGAAGTTCAGTTTGCGCAGGTCAAAGTGTAATAAGTCCTTAAGTGGTGACTGGTTAAGTTTAGGTGTCTGAGTAAGATGGTTAAGGTTAGGGTTAAGGCTGGGTTGGGGTTATTTTATGGGAATGGCTGGTTAAGTTTAGGCATGAATAGGTAGTTTGTTATATTTACTTCCGCTTCCGTCCAGATTCCGTGACGTAATCTACTGCTGCGTATGCTCATTGGATCAAACTGAACTTCCGGACGAATCCGGTTTCCGGGACGAATACGGGAGTGACACGCCACTGAGCACAACCATTCATTTGAATAGGGTGCCATCTTGAATCGCCGGGGCTTGGCTTTATTCTAAAGTTCAGATCTTCATGAGTTTCACACTAATGTTTACTCACGCACTGGCTCATTTTGTGATTTCAAAAAGTTTCCGAAGTGCTGTAACTTAATTCTAGTTGCTTTACATACTAGGCATAAACCAAACA